CTTCACCTGCTGTGCACGAGCCGGTGCTCCCGCAGGCTCACAGCAACTTTCCACAGGCCCAGGCGAGCCCCCCTTCCCTCTGAGGCCAGTGTGACTACTTCCCTTGTATACAGTTCCTCTCTGGTCAGAAGCCGAATATTTAAGCTCACTTCCTCCCAGCAAGAGCCAGCCCTGCTTGGGCCTCCAGCACTGGTCAGCCACAGCACATCCAGAGGAGCTGTGGGCAGGTGGCTGGGGAGGCTTTGCTCTTTGTGCCTCTTAGGATCCAGGCAGGAGTGAGACCCATAATTTATTGCTTTCTGTTCTGTGGTATGTGTGTGTGTGCACATGTGTGCACATGAGTGTATGTTCTGTTGATTCCCCCTCCCTTGAAGAATGTAATGGACTCAGTTCAGGTACTTCTGTGGGTTGCCTTGCTGACCCTGTGGTTGTCGCTAATGTATACACATTTCATTATTTGCCAATGGTGCAATAACCACTCTGACCCACTGACTGGTGTGTGGCCTCCTTCCTGGGTCTGGCTGGGGTGGGGAGAGTTGATCATGGCCAGGGATGTGTTAGGGGAGGTGGGACATGGGGGTTATTGGCTTCCATGTTCACATATCCATTATCCATCCTCACAATGCATAAGGCACAGGGTGCTTGTCAGGGAGGCTGGGGCAGGAGGGGTGCAGGGGGAACTTGTTCTCTGCTGCTCTGCTCCCATGGGCTTCTCTGCCCACAGCCTGACTTCCCATCTGGGGAGGCAGGCGTTCATACCAGCCTTTTAACACTTTTCCTTAACAGCCAAAGTTGGACTGAAAAGGGGGCACTGAGTGGAATATTTTTACAATGGGCAGAAGTTTCCAGTGTCTGGTGCCTTTTATTCTCTCCCTCCCAAGTTTTCAGGAGGCATCCTAGGAAGCAAGAATTCTAAACTTAGAGCCTAGAAATGTCTACAGTGGCTTGCAATATTGGGTGAAGAGTACAAGTGCATTTTTTTTGGGATGGGTCCTTAGTTTTCACCCCATTCTCAAAAGTGTCTTTGAGTCAAAAGTGCAAGGAATGCCTTTTTCTGTGTTTTCTGACCTTTCTGGCAGACCAGCTTGGTTTCATCCTGTTTCTCGTAGTGGGGGCTGGGAGGAGTGGGCCTGCAGGAACATCTAAGTGTTCCCCCAGGTCTGCTGGGTCGGTGCCTGAGTCTTGTGGCCCAGGAGGATGGACTCAACTTGAAGAGGGGTGTGCTGAGCCTAATGAGGTCAAAGGAGGATTGGAAGTGGGTGGAGGCCTCCTGGGCACAGGTGTGCGGGACAGATCTGCCCCCCCCAGCACAGGTGGGTGGGGCAGAGCTGGCCACCCCCTGGCACAGGTGGACAGGGCAGGTCTGCCCATGTTCTGCCGGCTGCCCTGAATGTTCTGTGGCCACTCCCACAGTCACTGAGGAGAGAGCTGGCTCCTACCCGCCAAGTCTCAGGTTATGATGCTCAGCCATGATAGATGGAGTGGAGTGAGTCAGGAGACCTGGGTTCTCGTCCCAGCCCTGCCATTAACTACCTGGGTCACCTAAACTCCTACTTTTTCTTCTATAAATTGAAGGAGATGGATGAGTCACTGCTTCTTAAACTTCCTGACTCAGACTCTCCCGGGGGCGGGGCCTGGGAAGTTGTGAACACCTTCCTCAGGTCATGCTTACACAACCATCTAGGTATGTCTGAGAACCTTGGTCCAGCTCAGTGGTTCTCACTGGCTGCCTATTAAAATCATCAACAGAGCCTTTTGAAAAGTGATGCCTGCAAACCATCCACCCGGATCAGATGGAACCGCCCTCAGGTTGAATCCCAGGCATGGGGTTTCTGGTGATTCTGATGTCCAGTGGGGGCTATTTCTGTTCTGAGCTCTCTGGGGAAAGGCCCCCAAGATGGTTGAAGGCGTGAATGAGCAGGCTTTCCTCAGGGTCTCACGTGGGGCACAAGACCTGGGTGCCAGCATGAGACTCCCGGGGACAGCCAGAGGGTCTGCATGTCTCCTGGTCTCCCTGGTGGGCCTGTGGACACAGATCCCTCTTCACTCATACAACTAGTGCTCCTCGGTTGGTTCAAAGGGAAACTAGTCAAATGAGAAACAGAGAAATACGGAGTGTTACTGATTTATTAGAAAAACTAGTAAATGGGTTTCCTCTGGTTAGTGGAAGCACATTTGAGCAGGTGGAGGAAAAGGCCTGCTGGCCCCAGGGCCTTCCCCAGATTGCATGGCCTGTGCCCAGCAGGCTCGCAGTCCTCTGCAGCCGCCTTCTCACTGGCGTCCTCCCTGAGCTTGCTTGTCCAAGGGACCAAGCCATGTGGTCTCTTGGGTCTCTGCCCCCCCAACCACTAAAGGGAGGAGGAAGATGCAGGACCAGCCTCGGGAACCCTAGTTGCCCTCTGATAGGGGGAGTGGTGTGGGAACACAGCCTTACACAGGCCTCCTGTTTTGAGTGCTGGCAAGGGGAGGGAAGCCTGAGGACCCTCCGTGCCCACCTCAGCCAGTTGAGGCCAGGAGCTGAAGGATAGGAGGACCGTGTGACCATGTCCAGAAGATACTTCCTCTAAACCGCCCTGGGCAGGAAGCCTGTATGCTGGTGTGGACTGGAGCTGTGTCAACCTAGTTTGGGAAAACTGTCAAAAGAAAAGTCTGCAAAGTGGAAAATGTAAGGAGAAAAAAACCCTTGCCCCAGGGCACCAGGAGCTTAGCTCCCACATGGCACAAATTTTCCCAAAGCTGAGCGTCTGCAGTTTCAGTCAAGTGTCTTGGGGCCTGTGTGACATGGGAGGGATGTGTGGGGAACTAGTAATTGGTGGTGGATCACATGCGGGGGGCCACCCTGGCCCAGTCTGGGAATCCTGCGGTGGTGGTGAAATCCTAGCTCTTTGGGGCCCTTTCATTCCTGGGACTGTGGAGTTACTGGAAACTCCTCACTTAAGAAGTGCTACTCCGGCACACAGGGAAGGGAGAGGGTGGCCCTTCGCTCCCTAGAGACTGGCCCGGGGAAACACTTGAGGGGGGCTCTTGCCATCTGCTCTTCAGCAAGGAGCATGCCATATGCCCTGGAGTGGGATGTGCTCAGGTGCACTGGGGCCTTCTTTATTGCTAGGGGAGTGTAGCCACCTCACTGCCTCCTGCCGTGGTTTCCCCAGGTGTAGAAAGAGGCTGGTGAATGGTATATGCTAGGTTCCCTGTGGATGCAAAGAGGGCTGCAGGGTTAGATGCAGAGGCCAAATGAAGACCCTGGCTACAGAGTTGGGACTCCATGATGGGGGAAGTCAGGTTCTAGTCTGCTGAAGTTGGCTTCACTTTGACATGGTAGTATTGGTCTCTGAGCTGTTCCTGCACCTACTCCTGGGATGCCTGCCCCTATGGTTTCTACCTGAGCCTCACCCACTTTCAGAGGAAACATCTTGGGGTATCTAAGGCTCCTTCCCATGGGGAAGGTGATAGAAACAGCAGCCTTAGGCCCCAGGGACCTTTTTGGTCTCCCCAAGGGGAAATGTCTGCTGCCTCCAACCTGACCCCTTTTTTGGACCTGACACAGTTGGATGCTGGGCTGGAGCTGTATTGCTCCCAGAGTGACTGATAAAATCCCTGTTGGAATAAGCGCCCACTTCTGCCTAGAAGTTCGACCTCAGCAGCATGGGGCACAGTATCCCTGGGGATATGCTGTGCAGGGCCTTTTTGGACTGCTCAGGGAAGGGGGCTAGATGTGTGGGGACATTTGCACCCATGTGCTGCCCCACCCACTAAGCCCAGGACCTTCAGGAGAGAGAGGAGCCATGCCGCCTCAGCTCGGGCCCCAGCATCTGTCCCAGCCATCCGGGGCTTGTGTTGCATGGCTGGGTGGTAATACCCAGGTGTGGCCATGTTTCCCGCTCTGGCTGTCTGTCCGCCAGTTCCCTCAGATGGTACCCGCTGCAGACAGGACCCACTGGGCATTTAGGTGTAGGATGTTTTACTCCAAGTGTTAGGGTGTCTGTCTTGTATGTGGGGACCTGTGCTGTCTCCCAAAGGGGCCCCGGGTCTGAGGTGGGTATTGCTGGCTTGGTTGTACTGGGAGTTGGGGAGGGTCCCAGAGTGGAGAGGTCAAGCCTTAGGCAGTGTCAAGACCTATCTACCTCCTTCAGGTCTCAGCCCTAAGCTCTCACTGTAGTTCTCAAAGAGGAGCAGCTTGACAGTTTACTGATCCTCCCTTCTACCCTGTGGTGGTGGCTAAGGGTGCAGGAGGCTGCAGGACGTCCCCTGTACTTAGGACCCACGGACCTTTGTGTGCCCCCCCTATTCTTTTTGATTGGAGTAGGGAGAAAGGGATGTGGTGGCCCCTGAGTCAACAGTCCCCGTTCTGAGGAAGCCCAGTGGGGGAGGCCCACTGAGTCCCCTTAATCCCCAGCAGCCCCTTGCCCAGAGCTAGGCCCCATGGTCCTACCTGAAGGCCCCCTCCTCATGCCCTTAAGGGGCAGGTTAGACATTTCTGGTGTCTTCTTTCCTTCCCCTGTCCCTGGCTGTGGCCAAGTGGGAGGTGACCCAAGCAAAACTTGCTTTGGGAGTAGGCAGGATCTGAGGAACCTCATTAGCCTCCTTCTCCAGTTTTTATGGGGCTTGGGGGGCTGGCATGCCCTCAGCCCAGGAGCAGGGAATGGGGAGAGGTGGGTGTGTGCCTCGGAAAACCTTTTCCTGCCCCCAGCTCGGAGGCTGAGGGTCCTGGCCTAGCTGGGAGCCAATCCCTGTCCTGGCACTCGCCCTCAGTGAGGAGCCAGAGCTGCGTGGTGGTAGAGGGCGCAGAGGCAGGCAGCAGGCAAAGGCAGCTATTGCGGTGCAGTGTGGGCTGCGGGCCTGGTGACTTGGAGCAGGCAGGCAGCAGGCAGCGGCTGGCCCAGGTGGCGGGTAGGAGGAGGGCCAGGCCGTGGCCAAGGTCAGGGCCAAGAGGGGTGCTCCCTGCACATCCTGACACCCCGCGGTGCCCACCACCTGACCCCACACAGGCACCAGAGAGGCTACTTCTTTTTGGGGAAGAAGCTGAATCTCTTCTCCTTGTCCTTCTTGCCAAGGCTGGCATCAAGGCCGGCGATGGAGGGCAGAGGCAGGCTCTGGGCCTTGACACGGATGCTCTGGGACTCGTTGATGGCAGTGCTCAAACCCTGCAGCCAGGACAGCATCTCCTCCTGCAGGGTCGGGAAGGTCAGGGCTCCAGCAATGACACTGGGGCTGCCCCTGTGACTGACTGTTCTGGGGGAGGCTTGAGGTCAAGTGGCTTGGGTCTCCACCTGCCTCTTTGTTAGCAAGGGTCCAGGCTAGCTCCCCCTCCACTTACCTCATCTTTGCCATGGAAGAGCCACTCGCTGCCATTGCTCAACCTAGGAGGACAAAAAAGTTTGCCATGTGGCTCCCTCTGAAGTTGCCTGCCTGGGCAGAGGGCTGGTTCTGATCCTACAGCTCCCGAGCTTCCCTGTGACCAGAGCCCTCTCAGGCAGCACAGTCCCTCTGAGAGAGGTGAAAATCTGGACTCTTGTCTCTTTGATTTGAAAAATCCCTGAGGGTCAACTCAGGCCTGGAGCTGGTCCCATACAGTGGGCTTCTGTCCAGCCACTGATGCCAAATCAGGCCACCAGAGAAGGGGCAGTGGACAGGAGGAGCCTCACCTCAGCTTGAAGACATGTTTCTTCTTCTTGTAGTTGGTAGCAATCTCACAGATGGCATGTCTCAGGGCCAGGGGATTCTCCCCATGGTAGGGTACCCCCAGAGCCAGGTTCTTGGCATCCTTGTAGAAGGTCAGCTCACTATTCCTGAGCACACAGTACAGGTTGTTCCAGGACCTGCAAAGATGCAGACAGGCGGGTCACCCACCATCCTGATACAGCATTTCTATAATCCCTATAGCTTCATCATTACTTTTTTTTTTATAATACACCATTTTTGCCCTGATAAGTGGTAAGACATTTTACTGTAAAAACAACAAAACACCTGGAAGTAAAAATCAGCCACCTAAAAAACTTAACGTTTTATGTATTTCCTTCTAGTCTTTTTTCTATTTACATATTCATATTTTTCTATTCACATTATAGCTAAATTGGATTATATTGTATATTCAATTTTGTGTTCTTCTAAGATAAATACTGTGTTGTATTTCTATCAAGCATTTCTTGAAAATAATTTTGAATAGCTCATGGTATCTCATATATATATATAAATCCCTTTATTGGTGGGTCTTACAATACTAGAGATTTAAATCATAAACAGCAATGTAATGAACATTCTTGTGTATAAATCTTTGCCTATAACCCTGATCTTACCTTGAGATACATTTCTAGAAGTCGAATTATTGAGTCTAAGACCAACAGTGCAAACTTTTCAAAATATTCCCCGTCCGTTAGCATATTTGATTCTCACAGAACTGGGGAGTGAACAGAGTGGGGTTTTATTTGGGTGGTTATTTTTTGTTTTGTTGATGATATATGCCCAGAATACTGTACTAGCACTTTTTAAAAGAAACCCAGTCGTGCAAATCAAGACCCAGCTAATACATTTGGTGACAACAATAAGCTTATAAGCTAACGTACCGGCCAACCTGAGCCCCTTCACTGACAGACTGGGATCACGTTGCATTTTCACAGTAATGAAACAGAAACATTAAGCTCTTCTTCCTCCTCCTTTCTTCTCTCCCCCTCTCATCCTCCCCTCTTCCTCTTGGTCATCTTTCTTCCTTTCCCTCCCTCCCTTTGGGTGGCAGGAAGTTGGAGGACCAGTTGGGCACACGGGGAGGAAGGACTGGAAAGTCCCAGAGAGAACTTGACCTGTACCAAGCCGGCTACTGAGCCACTTTATGAGGCCCAGACTTTGGAGCCCAGCTCCAGGATCTTTCCTAGACCTCACTGCCTTTGAACGTGTAGTCCAAGAAAGGCGATTGCTAAGGAGCTGGTTCTTGGAGTGAAATACAGCCTTGAACAAATGCCTTGACCTCTCTCCGATCTGCTACCCCATCTGGAAGATGGAAACCTCAATATCACAGGGTGTTTGTGAGGATTTTGATCAGTCTTGACATAATGTCAGCACGTAGTAGGTGCTCAGTAAATGCTAGTTTCCCCTTTCCTGGTGGACTCTCCATATAGGCAATAAATCTCTTCAGGGCAGTTGGGCCCCCAAGTTCATTTTTGGAATTTGAATGAGCTTTGACCTGTCCCCCAGGATGGCTCTGTGTGCCACCAGCTGACCCTGGGGGTATGGCTGGCTTTGACCTTTTGATGTTGCACTGTTTCCCTGGGACCCTGGACTGCTGCCTGAAGGCAGAGACCCCCAGAGAACTCGGGCAGAGACATCCCGGGATAGACTGAACCCAAAGACATGACTGTCTGGGGTCAGGAAAGGACACAGGCTTTGAATGAATTCCTCAGGGTCACAGACTCCCTGTATGACAGCACTGGGAGAGAATTCCAGAGGGCACCTATGTCAACCCACTCTTCCTCTATTTTACAGCTAGGGAAACAGGCCCAGATTGGTTAAGAAGTGGAACTTGGTCAAGGATTTGTTAGTGCTAAGATCTACCTACCTGTTACATGTCCCTGAGATAAGAATAATAGCAACTAGTGTTCACTGAGTCCCTACTCTGTGCCAGGTGTCTATGCCAAAGAGGCACGCTGTTATCATCACCCTCATTTTACAAATGGGGAAACTGTCTTAGGCTGAGTAGCCTGTACAAAGTCATAGGATTTACCTTGTGACAGGAACTGAAGATAGCCTTTTCCCATCAGGCCAAGTAGCCCCTGGACTGGTACAGAGGGGTGCCTGGGGCTCTCAGGCCAGTGGTGGAGCTGGGCACCCTCTCCTCCTGCACCTCGCCCTGCTGAGGCTCTCTGGGTGACGTGCCTGGGAGCTGTCCACCCCTCCCAGCCGGGGGCCCCTCCCTGCACACCTGTTGGACGCCTTCTTGTTGGGCCCCTCCAGGTCATGCTTGCGGCCCAGGTAGCCCTCCATCTGCACACCGTGTCCGTGGTCCTGCTGGGCTGGCAGTGTTGTAGGCTCATCACCCTCGCTTAGAGGTGTGTCCAGGACCTTAAAAAGAGGCTCGGTGGCAAGCCTGTCATCTCTGCTGGATTTCTCCCCATGTGGCCCCAGAGGGGGTGGTGGCTGCAGATCCTGAGGCCACTGCCTCTCTTCTTCCCCCTGCTCAGGTGCATATGGGAGGAGCACACTTTGCTGGGGGTTCAGACCCAGGGTGGCTATGTGAGGCAGAACTGGGAAGTCAACAGGCACTGCACTGGTGCCCCCACCCTCCACCTCCCCAGCCTGATTCCTTTCTGCTGTGTGTCTCCTGGTCTGCCCTGCCTCTCCCTTGACCCACCTGGGTACCCACCTGGCCTGCTTCCCTAGACTCTGCCCATACCTCTGACTCTACCCCTCTACAAATACCCCCTCACAAACTAACACAGCAACAGAAGGTTTTCAGAGTGAGCCGAGGGGCCTGAGGATTTCATCCAGAGGGGTCCAATGCTGCTGGCAAGGCCCGGGATTGCTGGCAGGTTCAGGCCTCCACTGAGTGCCAGCCAGATACTCCAACTCCAACTGAGTTATATGTGGGCTCTGGCAAGATTTCATAGGAAGAAAGGGTTCTGCTGCTAAGACAGGTTTGAATGAAAAATCTGTTACTTCTCTTGTGTCTAAAGCTCTAAAGCTAAGGACACCAGGCCCTGAGTCTCTCCCATCACCTTATAAAGGAAGAACCTGCAACCTCCTGGTCATGGTACAGGGCTAACTGGTCCTGGGCCCATCGTTTGACAGGGTTTGTTGGAATAGGGCAGTGGTTCCTAACCCTGGCTGCCTTTTATAATCACCTCAGGAGCTTTAACAGAATGTGCCCGGGGCCCACCCCGCAAGGTGTTGAGTTAACTGGCCTGGAGGGGGTCAGTGCACTGGTTTTTCTTGATCAGGCTTTTATGTCCTCTAATGTGTGGCAACGGTGCAGATCACCAGGAGTCGCTGCCCTGGGAGAGGCTGTGGCTTTTCCCTCTCTGCACATCCCCCTCTGGAGGGCGGGGTGCTCCCAGCCCCTGCCCAAGCCAAGAAGGGGAAGCTGCTCTCCTGTTCCCCAGCTGGGCTCCTCCTTAGGCAGAGGCCTTGCTGATCTACCCTGCCTGCTGCTGAAGAAAAGGAAGAGGGGCAGATTGGGGCAGCCAGCCTCCCACTGCCAGGGGTCCTGGGGCTCTCAGGCCAGTGGCTGAGCTGGGCACCCTCTCCTCCTGCGCCTCACCCTGCCGAGGCTCTCTTGGTGACGTGCCTTGGAGCTGTCCACCTCGGTGCCAAAGGAGCACTGAGGAAGGCGGCCCAGGTTGAGCCCTCAGGGTGGAACCCTGTCTCACACCTGACTCCTGTAGACCTCACAGCACCAGGGGGAGAGGGTTCCCGCAGGCCCCCAGGCAGGGTGGACACCTGAAGGACCAAGGGCATCATCAGCCTTGGAGGAACAGAGCTGCCCCAGGCAGTAAAAGGCCTTCCCCCCTTTTCTACTCTCTGCCCCAACAGCTGAAGATGGAGACCAGAAGAGTGCTGGGAGGAGCCAGGAAAGAGGACCCAGTGTGGGTCCTTCAAACCATGGGTCAAACCTAATAGAAACACGGAGGATTGGGGGATGTGGGCACCATGTTGGACATCAGATGGAATCTTTAGGCTGAAATAGATTGGGTGGACTTTCTAACAGCTAAAAGTGTCCAAGGTCTTTATAAAATGGCACTAAGGAGTGGGAAGGGGGGGCTCAGTGGAGATGTTTCAGTGGTTGGAAGGAAGGTAAAACTGATCATGTTTGTAGCCCCTCAAATTAGGGCTAGTCAATAAAAATAAGCTGGGGTTTCAGCAAGAGCTCATTTAAAGAAAGGATATGACTGGAAAAGTGAAAACCACTATCCTAGTCTAACACCTTCAATCTCTAATGAGAAAACCTATGCTCAGAGAGGTTAAGTGACTCACTCAGGGTCATGCAGCTAACGTAATGGAGGCAATTAAGAGCATGCACTGCAGAAGTGGACAGGCCTGAGTTTTGACCACACATCTTTAGGGCTCTCATTTCTTCCTTTAGCCCTTTCAGCCAGGTCATACTCATCTATATGCATCTCCATCTTGTATTTGTGTCTTCACGTGTCTGCAGTGTGCCAGCATTGGTCACAAGTATCTGGAGACCCCAAAGCCCTGCCTGGATCATCCTCTCGCAGGGACGAAGGCTGGAAGGGATGTGGCCGGAAGGCTCAGTTTGGGGTCCTGCTGTGGACCCAGTCTGGCCACCCTCTGACTTGAGTATAAAGGTTGGGGGTTAGTAATACAGAAAATGGATTAGCAATACAGAAAATGAAGCTTCGTTTTATCCCACCTCTGGGGATGGCTGGGCTGCTCTCCTGGTGATGGACCAGAGCCTGCCCCATGCCCACCTGGGCTCTCAGTGAAGATGCCATGGCAGCTGCTGGGAGGGAAGCCCAGTGGGCCCTCACGGCCATGTCTGCCCCACTCACCCAGCCTTTACCACTCTGGGAGGGCTTGTGCTAGAGACCTGTGTCCACATTTCTTCTTATACTTTGACTCCCATTCTCCTTCCTTTCTGGATCTGTCCAGGATTACCTCCCAACTTATTCCACCTTTCTTATGCCTCTTCCTAATGGGTGCCTGACCCACATTCCCTGGCAGGTACTTTTAGATGCCATGGCCAGTGTGAGCAAAAGTTAAATGGCCAGGCCATAGGTTGACTTTGGAAAATGAGAGTTTTCCAACGTGTGCAAAGATTCATTCTGTGCTCTTAAGCATTCATATGGAGGCCTTTAAGATCTGCCCTGCCCCCTCTATCTTGGAGGTCAAAGCCTGAGGAGGAGCCAAGAAGGTGGCTGGGAGGTGGATGTGTTTGGCAGCCATGGCCTCCCTGCCCCATCCCGGGCCCAAAGCTGGCAGCCCTTCTCTTCCTTCTGGGCTGGGGAGGGGACACAGATGAGAGAGAGGAGGGCGTGGTTTGGGCAGAAGGGTCCTCATTTCCCAGGCCCCAGGGGGAAGTATGCTCTGTGCTGGTCTTCTAATAGAGATCTGGGGAAGGGCGGGGAGGTGGTGACAGTCCTGCTGCTCCGGAATCGGGCCATGCTCTTATATGGAGATTATGCCTTGCCCTACGGCAGAGGGTGCAAGGACAGCAGCGCTCCAGGAGATGTGGCTGAGGAGCTGGGGCGCACAGCTGGCTACTCCCGTGGCTGCAGGGACAGGCAGGTTCTGCTGAAAGGCCCTGGATAGGTGGGATGACCTAAGAGCCCCTCCTGTCCTCTGTGCTGAAGGTGGAAGGCTGCTGCTCGGCTCTCAGGTCCTTAGGACGGGTCACCAATGACACCCACACTGCGGAGGGCGCGCAGCCCCGAACACCACCCAAACGGGCTGGGGACACCTGAGGTGGGGGTTCCAGCTGCTTGGAGGGAATTCTGGGCATCGGGCTGGGGTGGCTGGGTGTCCAGAGTGACAGCAGGAAGGAGACTGGCCCAGGGTGGAAGGGTCAGAAAGGGGAGGCGCTGCCCTCCGTGCGGAGCCAAGCCTTGGCTTGGGGCAGTAGGGCGGGTGCACGTGCACTGGCTGCTGGTTGGCGGACATTAGAGGAAGAAAGGGCGCAGTCAGGAGAGCCTCTCCGAACCTCACAGGAGTGTAGTCAAACAGGGGAGGCCCTAGCTCCTGGGGGGCAGGGAGAGCCACCTCAGAGTCTTCCAAACTTGACTTTTTAGGCTCCTGCCTTGCAAGGAAGGGTGGGGGTGGGGAAAGCAGGCAGTACTTGAGGGTCATCCCCACAAAGGAAGTTCAAGAAGAGAGGAATTGGGGTAGGATGGGGGATGTTTCTTCTCAGGACTAGAGGAGTAGCAGGTGTACTTCCAGGCTCAACCAGCAGGTGGGAGAGGCCCCACACACAGACACCCCTCAGCTCCCGGGAGAGCCTGGGTGGGACCACAGGGTGTTCTGAAGGTTCTAAAAGATGCTCAGTGAACCCAGATACATTAATAAGTAAGTAAACACAAGAGAGGGGGCTTCTCTCTAAAGGAAATGCTGGCAAGAGAGTACCAGGGCATGAGGATACATTCCAGAAACTATACGGCCTTAGCCATGCAGTGGTCTTGCCCACCTATCTCACCACGAGGACTGAGCCCAGAGTGTGTGTGCAGGGGTCTCAAGGGAGGGGCACTCCAGGAAGGTTGGTGTGGAAGGGCTTTGGCAATGGACGTTAGACTTCATATGGAGGATACGTTCTTTTATGAGATGAAGGACTTCAATGAGGAATGGAGAAATAATGAAAGGAAAAGTGAAGACTTAAATAATCACCTACTAGGTGCCAGATGTTCTACCTACAATCTCTCTTCTGGTCCTCACTCCCTCTCTGCAAGGTGGGGATTATCACTACCCCTATTTTACAGATGTAAGAAGTTGGGGGTTAGGGAAAGCAAGTAACTTGCTCTCAGTCACATTTCCTGAATGACAGGTTGAGGATACAGATTTGTCTGGTCCCAAACTCTGTGCTCTTCCCACTAAATCCTGCAGCAAGATGTGGGGGGTGGTACTGTTGTTCCAGAGGAAAGTACCTATCTGATGGGGTTCATGGCGTGTATGAGACAAGCTTGGCTTAAGTAAAACTCGTGGCTGATTGGCTGGGGCAGCCTGATCATGTCAGAACCACACTGGAAGGGGCCGGAAGAGGGGCATGGGGCCAGACAAGACCTTTGGCTGAATACCTTAGGCAACCAAATAGCACCTCAAGACTGGAGGGTGGGGGGAGCTGGCCCTTTGCAGCCAAGAATTTGTACCCTCTCCTAGTGTCTGATGTCTGGGCTCTTGTCCTCTGGGAGAGGAGTGAACGGGCTGGCAGCAGGCAGGTGGGAAGGCTGTTCAGTGAATAGTTGTTTGCAAGAGAAGAAAAAGATGGTTTGTTGGGTTGAGAGGAGCTAAAGAGATGGTAACTTACGGTGAGCAGAGACCAACGCCTCCAGAGAGTGACCAGTCGCTGAACAGGGGAAGGAGCTCGGGAGGAACAGGGGCTGGGGCAGACAGCGAGGGGCTCTCATGACGAGTGGGGTGAGAGAGCAGGGTGGCTCAACACTGTGCCCAGAGCCCTGCTGAGATGACAACTGGGGAACCAGAAGATGGCAGGAGGGCACAGAGAGCAGAAAGCCACCAGGTAAGGTGAGGGGAGAGGAGTGTGCAGGGTCCCCTCGTATGGAGAGGCGGAGACTGGGCCACTGCCTCATGAGTGGGAGAAAGGCTTCCTTGACCCTTCTTCAGCATTCCCATCACCGGGGTGGGCACTTCCTGGAGGAGCTGGGGGTTCCTCGGTGACTTGGAACCAGCCATTCAGAGTTAGAAGGACCAGGAAGAGTTAGAAGACACGGATCCCTGTGCAGACCTGACACCAGAGGTCAAGTCGGCAGCTTCAGACCCGTTTCTGAGAGGCCTCCAGTGTTAAGTGAGTCGTGTCCTGAGTCCATCAGGACCTGCGATGCTCTGAAGAAAGAACAGCTTGGAAGAATTTAGAAGCCTCAGAGCAGCAGGGCTAGAAGAATCATGTCTGACCACAGCGTAGAGAGCTGGGCACAGCCAGCCATGAACAGCTGTCCAGAAAAAGCCAAGAGCAAGTTTCTCTGGGGAGCCAGGAGGCCCAGAGCACGATGCCAGACTGCAGGCAGACATGCCCCTGTCACACTGATGCAGGCATCCTGGGGAGACAGGGACACTCCCAGGTTTAGGAGAAAGCTTACATTCTTTCCAGGCCAGTCTGCTGGCTCATTAGGAATACACACATGATTTGCATTTGCTCTAAAATGCCTGAAACAGCAGCTCAGTTCAGCCCGTCAGGGGAGGGAGAAGGACTGGGAAAGCTTGCTCAGGCAAGAACCACAGCTGCTGCCTCCACACCCACAGACCTTCCGGCCAAGGCTGTCGGAGCCCAGCCTCCGGCCACTGATTAAAGCCCCAGGCTGCCTGCCAGGGAGACCACTGCTGCTGGAGGGAGTTGACCAGGTTGCCAAGGGGGCGATAGCAGCTGGAGCCAGCTGAGCACTGGCTGCTTCCCTGTGCCCGCTCAGCCCCTCAGGCACAGACCCTCGTGTTTGCAAGAACTGGGGACTTCCATTGAGCCACAGCAACACCCAGCACTAGGGAAGAAAGGGGCAAGGGGCCCGGGAGTCTTGAGTCCCCATGTTCATCCCTAATGAGATGCCTGGTCCTCCCTCCAGGAAAGCCAGCTGCAGGCAGTCTTGGAAGGTCATGGCAAGAGTGACATCTGCACGCTGTGCTTGGGGAAGAGCTTTCCCTGACAACTCGATGGAGGGGCCTGATAATGAATGGCACCCAGCAGGTGCTCTCTGGAGGGGACTCACACCCTAGAGGCCCCCCTGCACTGCAGATGGGATCTAGCTAAACCCTTAAGACAGACTTTTTCTTACTGTCAAAGCCCAGGAGCACCAACCCCTTGCAAGGATGTCACTCACGTCATTACAGTGCCGTTTCCAGAGCAGGCCCCGCTTCCCACCCAGCCCCCCCTTTTATTTAGGTACATTGTTGACATATAGGAATGTCCTGGACCTTTTATAATCCCACAGAGATAGCATGGAGACCAGTGAGAATTAGGCTGTTTGTGTAAAATCATACAAGAAATTTCCAGCAGAATTAAGGACAAGAACCCAACATCCCGACTTCCGCTTCAGGCATTTGGTTTTTATAGTATTTTCTTCCTTCTGCTTGGCCTCTCATACACCAGCATACTTCCTTGTATGAAGGGATTGGTTTTTGCCAGAACACTCTCTAATGAGGAAAGGTAAGAGGTGGGGGAGGTGATGTGTGTATAATGATGTGCTTGAGGAAGAGACTGGTGCAGGAATGGCAGCCTAGTCCCTGTGTGTACACGTGTGCATGCACACACCTGGGAAGGGAGGACTGGGCTCGGGCCTTAAGGTGGGCTGCCCTGGGGTGTTCAGTGCACTGGACAGGGGTTCAGGCACCGAGTCCACTCATGTATGCTCCCCCAGCAGGAAGCTGGCATGCACTAGGGATGGGTTCCACATGAAGCAACACCACACGGATCCACAGGACACTGATGCCGGACCACACACATGGACAGCAGGAGAGCCACTGTAACCCAGGCCTATCCCTGAAAGAAGGGTCAGAAGATAGCCAGCCCTTCCTGGGAGAGACCTGTGGTTTCTGTAAAGGTTTCCCACCTGCATGGGACCCATTCTCCTCTCTTCTCATATCAAAGTCCAACTGGGTATCAGATCAGGCCCACCCTTGGAGTTCGGTGATCCTCATGAAAACTCACCAGCAGCTGCCAGAAATCTGTTTCCATGAGGCCTTGGGCCTAGTGTTCATCGATTCAGCATTTGGTTTCTCCCTGGCCCCAGGCACAGGCCTGTGCTCCGTCTTGGGGGCGGGCTGGCTCTCCGGGAAGGCTCTCAAAAGTGTTCACACTCCTTCCCAGAGACACACTCAGGTCCAAGCAGGTTTTATTTCCCCCCAAACCCAGAGACACTCAGGCGTCGGGTGGAGGCAGCTCTGATACACATGTAATCACATTCCACAGACATACACGAGACAAACAGTGGATGGAGTCCCACAGGCGGTCCCAGAGGAGCCTGCAGACCTGGGACACCACTGCATGCAGACACATGAGGCGTACAGCTGAAGCGCAGGCGGTACAGGAGACAGGCACAGTCCGTACCCACAGAGTTCTCTGTCCTTTCGGTGGGGGCTGTTTCTGGGAAAAGGGGGCTGGGACCTAGTCCACCAGAGACCCCACACGTGATGACAGGCGCTTTGGAGGGAACTCTGGGGAGAGACCCTCTAGCGGGGGCTCAGGATTGCCCTCTGCTGGACACGAAGGGCCGGTGCAGCTCAGAAAGGAAGGCCTCTGGCCAGGCTAGAGGCAGCAGAGGGAGCTCGCAGTACGAGTGTGTGTCTCACAGAAGTGTGGGGAGAGCTGAAATCTGGACCTGACAAGGTCCTCACAGGAAATGCTCACTCAATGCCCATTTTTTTTTGTGTGTGTGGGGGGATATCAGAAATTTCCACCTAGGATACCAATCTCCCTAAACCCCTGAAGGTTCAGGCAAGTTCGACTGGGCAGCTGGAGAAGTGGGGTCCATGCAGTGGTGGAGCCATGCAAGGCACATGCTGAATTCTTGCTTCCTTCTAAGCAGCTCCCCCGGGCATTTCCCCAAAAGCCGGCTTACCTGCTCCCTGCACAGAGCCCCCAACCCCAGGTCCATTTAGTTAAGGGACCTATTCCAGGCAAGGTTCTGAAACTAGATGCCCCGGCCCCTGGGAGCTGCTCTGTCTTGTCCCACCTCCCTCCCCTTAGCCAGGACTCTGACACACCCTCCTTTCTACAGGCTGTGCTGACTTGCCTGGGACCCACAGCCCTGGAGCTTTCCCTCATTCCTCCAGGGCTCCATCAAGTCTGTTACTGCCTCAGAATCAGCTTGCTTTATATCCAAACTCATTGATCCACAGGCATCAGGCCTGGAAGGTGCAAAGGGGAGAGGGCGCTGATGGGATGGAGGACTGTGCTGGAAGGGGGTGTCCCCATTTCACTGCCTTACGTGCCCGTGGCTGGGACAGATGAGACCTGATGGTCCCTGGGAATGTGTGTGTGTAGAGGGTACTGTGCTAAGGATGGAGTGAGAGGGAAAAATGGGGGAAGGATGGTGTATAAAGATGAATCATCCCTGAGTAAACGGTTTCCCCTGATGTAGAGGTGATGTATTTATACAATAAAATTTATTAGACTAGATAAACCAAACTAACAGTCATGTCAGTGGACTGGCATGTCAGTTTCTTCTGGGTTGAAGGGAGAAGGGGAATTATTCCGGAAATCAATAAAAATCTAAGGTCAGAAGGAGCTGGGGGAGGCAGCAGTGCGTGTCTGTCCTCGCCCTCTGCCCCAGCAGAGCCTACTAGAGATAAGACTGCAAGGACTCCAAGGAGCCAGACATAAGGGACAGGACACTGACCGGGGACGTTCTCTTGGTGGCCGTGTGATGGGGGCCTTGGGGATCCTCCCCTGCTGTCTCGCCTTCCTCCTCTTGAGGCCTACGGAAGACACAGCCCCTCTTTAGAAACAAGCACCTCCTGAGGCCAGTGCCCACCTCCAAGGCCTGGCTTCCCATTCTCTCCCACAGGGAACACGCAATGAGTAGCACCCTGTCCAGGCCTCCTGGCAGCCTGGCAGGTGTTTGGCAAGGAGCCACTTGATCTGCCTTACTGCAAAGGCAGATGCTTTAGAAATGGACACAGTTCCACACAGAATGGCCTCTGGGGCACATGTTCAGGTGGTTCCCGGGGCAGGGGGAGGAGATTCTGCAGCTCCCCACTGAGTCCTGCTTGTGCTGGGTCTTCAGGTCACCCGTGGTTTGGGGGCAGCTTCTCTCTGCCTTCAGACTTTAAATACTTCATATTTCTCTGACTAGTGAGTGGCCCAGGTGTGAGAGGTCACAAGGGTACTGTTCAGACATCAGGGGGCCTGTTTCTGATTAAAAGTACTCTCTCCCTCCTCCTTCCCAGCCATCCCCCTTGGCAGAATGCTCAGCTAAGCCTGGTCCTCCCCTCACTTACCCCGTCTCCTCCTCGGGTCTCTCCGGGGTCTGGCGTTCCTTTAGCTCAAGCTAGGAGAGGAAAAGGCCCAGAGGTCAGAGCAGCTGCGGAGGGGAGCCTGCCGTCAGACAAGCTTTCTCTAAAGACCGCTACCCCCACAACAATACACATTTGGGTGCGGCATTTGCTCCTTTTGTCTTTTGCACTCAAAAGGCAATACTTCTACCTCTCCTATTTTCTTCCCACTCCCCTCCCTTGCCAAGCTTTTCACACTGTCCCTGGGTGCCTGATCACTAAAAGTTCCCTGACTGGAGGTACCCTACCACATGGCTGCCCTCAGCTCACCGTGGTGGGCTTCTCCAGGGCGGCAAAGCGCTCCGCCCAGCTGGCTGTGGATTTCTCAAAAGCCTCATGCCTCTTGAGGAGCTTCTGCACACCATCCACTGTGTGTCCAAAGTCCTGGCTGGCCAGGTAGGGCTCCTGGGCGATCAGCCACGCTTCAGCCACGGAGGCGTCCCTCGAGAAGCGGCACACTTCCAGCACTGCCAAGAAGAAGCAGCCCCAGGTCCAGCGCACGTCAGTTCCCAGCGCTCTGCTCCTGCCAGGACCTCGGGGACTGCTCAGCAGGAAAACATGTGGCTGGCATCAGGCACCATGCAGACACCTTGCACAGGGGTGACCTGCTGCCCGAGGTCACTCCTCCCTCATCTCCATTGAAAGTTATATATGAAAAACACATTAATTAAAATCAACTCTAGTTAGAAAACAAAATGTAGTTTAGCTGTCTCCCTTTGATGAGTGTTTCTATGACCTGGACACTCTTTCCAGCCCTCGCCTGTCTCACGTAATCATGTCTAAGCAGCCAGAGCACCAGGTCAGGCCTTGGCTTGCAACTCCTACCCCAGGGTGGGCTTTTCTCTCCTTAGTCTCCAGCTGTGGAGGCTGGAGCTGGGAGGCCCTGGAGCCAGACCTGACCCCTCCCCAGGCCACAGCTCAATGGGGATACCAGCCTGGCATGAGGTGGGGGACGGGTGGGGCAGAGAAGGGTGCGCTGGGCTGGCTGGAGGTGGCCTTTCAGCAGTGTGTCTTCTTCGTGGACCTTTGAGACCCTTGGCTGATGAGTGGTGCAGATCACTGCGCTGTGACACCATCCCTCCCTGGCACAGCCGGCAGAGGTCTGGCCCCTGCCTTCCCAGGTCCTGCCTCCAGGCCATACTCACACATGCAGAGATGCTCCTGACGGGCCTCCCACTTCTCGTTCATCTCCTTCCTCTTGGACACCACCTGCTCCAGTTTCTGCCTGATCTGTGGGGCAGAATGGAGAAAAGCTCAGGCTCTGGTAACTCTCCCTGCTGTCTGAGGAAGTGCAGATGGGTCTTGCAAAGAATGCTGGGCTTGGTCACACAGACCAGGATTCAAGTCTTGGTCCTGCCACTGGTGAGCTGTGTAACTTCGGGCAAGTTACTTAACCTCTCTGAGGCACGTGTGCCTGACCTAGGAAATAGGCTGTTGCCAACTTCAAAGCCTGCTCACAGGTAGGAGTCAGGTGGGTTATGGACTTGCTCGCCCTGCCAATGCCTTGCATGGGTTTGGTGGGGCTCTGCTCCATGGGCCTGAGCACAGCCCACTGCTCCATGAGGGAGACGGGTATGAGCTGTCTCAGAAAACCACAGCCCACAGCTCTCTCCCAGGAAGCCGTCTGGCCCAGCAAGAGGGGAGCTAGGACACAAAGGGGCTTGTCTCCGACTCACTGTCCCACTCACCTCCTCTGGGGCCTGGGGCTGCCGCTGCAGCAGGGACTCGCCAAGCTCTAGGCAGGTGCTAAAGTTCTTGCTCCGGGTTTCAATCTCTGCCTTGATACCCTGGTGATACTTCATGAGCAGCTCCACCGAGGAGACATCCCTGTGGGGTAGAGGGTGGGGGCGGGGGGGGGAATGCGGGAGAGAGTTTGGGGAAGAAGGAAACTGAATGCCTCTGGCTTGCTTGATGCCAGGTCCTGACTAGGGGGCCTCTTGCCACCTTCCTGGAGTCTAACCAGCCAGGATGCCCTCTGCCAGCCTAGCCCTATAGCAGGAACACTGATGCTCTAGTGTTTTCTGTTGGTCAGCTGGCAGGGTGTGGACAGGGGTGCAGGGACCCCAAAAGAATCCTGGGAATATTATTTGGCAACTAAAAGGAATGAAGTACTGATACATGCCGCAGCATGGATGAACCTTGTTGTGTGAGCCAGTCACCCAAGACCACAATTACATGATTTTATTTGTATGAAAAGCCCAGAATAGGCAAACTAGGGAGATAGAAAGCAGATTAGTGGCTGCCAGAGCTGGGGAAAGGGGGCAATGGAGAGGGATCTCTGCTAAGGGGTACAGGGTTTCTTTTTGGGGTGATGAAAATCTTCTAAACTTCTATTATGGTGATAGTTGTACAATTGTGAATATACAAAAAAACCACTGATGGGACACTTTAAATGGCTAAATCTTAGGGCATATTAATTACATCTCAATGAAGATGTTACATATAAAAACTTGGCCATCAGGACAGGCATCCAGGGGCAAAGGGACAGAGATGGGCCAGCAATAATTGCTAACATGACACAAAGTACACAGATAGCGGATCCCTGTTGAGGCTCTCACTGTCCCTGTGCCTGCCCCTACCGCTCATGCACAATAAGCTACTTTCTGAGTTTTGGGGGAGTAACCCCCCATATCCCAGGACTGGGAGAAAAGTAGCTTTCTCCCAGTTTTGGATCTGCCTAGCTTTGGATGCATGAACTACTTATTTTCACTGACAGCCCTGGTCATTGCCCGCTGCCAAATCTAAATGATGGAGGTCTTTCTCACCATTCTCAGGGCTCCCTCCATTCTGAAATGGTCGGCTCTCCTAGCAGAAGCTGAGCCACTCAGTTTCTGCCTGGACCCAGCCTATGGTGGCCCCCTGGGGATTCCTGTGTCCCCACCAATCAGGGCTGTCCTTCTAAGGAGGAGCCCCAGGGCAGCGCCCTAGCCCACCAGCATCTGGCACAAAGTAGCTGCCTTGAGGACACCCCCCTCACCTGGGCTTCTCCTGGGTGTCCATCTGCCGGATGATGCTCTCCATCCAGGAAAGGAGGTCTCGGGCCATGCTGAAGAAGCGGAATGTATCAGCCGTGTCCACCAGCTGGGCACGGCGTCCCGCACAGGCGTCGAGCAGTGCTTGCCAGGCAGCAGACACCTCCTGTTCCTTGCCCTGGATGGAGTCTGCCTTCTCCCCAGCATATGCCGCCTGCAGCCGGGTAGCCACGTCCTGGAACTGCTGCACCTGTGGTCAGGCAAAACAGGACGTTGGTGCCCAGAGAGACGTGTCTCAAGCTCCGATGGTGAGAGGGTCTGTCTGCTCCTGGCCTCCCGCCCCAGGGCACTGCTGGAAGGCAGGACCTTTGGCCTTCTACCAACTCAGGGCTGGGGAAGAAGGCTCCTTGCTTTGGCCTTACCAACCCAAGCTACCACTTGGGCCTTGATGAGCATTTGGGAGTGACAGGGACTCCATGCCTTTTGGCCTCCTCAGAAGTACCATGGTAAGAGTAACTATGTACCAGCCACTGCTCTAAACTCTATGTCTAATGCTCTCTTCATATCTCTGACAACCCTATGAAAGAGGTACTGTCATCATTCCAATTTTTGAGATGAGGAAACTGAGGCACAGGGAGGCTAATCACTCACAGTAGTAGAGGGGTACAGCCAGGACCAGAGGGCTCCTGAATCCCTGTTCTTAACTGCTCTGCAGGTGGCCTTTCCAGGGAGGGGCTGTACCAACCCACCTGAGGCTGTCCCCATGGCAATGAAGCCTCATTCCTGAGACCTCAGTGGGGCTGCACCTGCCTCAGGGGCTCCTGCACAAGAGCAGCATACCAGTCTCCACCGGTGAGAAGTCCCCTTCCGGGAAAACCAGGGGCCCAATCTACCTTGGTGTTCTATCCCCAAGCCCCCCTGAGTGGGTGTGGGACTGCCCAGCCCAGCCCTCTCTCCTACTCCACAGAAGCCTGGGGAGCCCCCAGCAGCTGGGGCCCCTTGTCCCTGCCCTTTCTATCACACCAACTTTGGTGGAACCCTATGGACCTGTGGAGGTGCCTCTGGGGACCACCCCAGTGATGGGAGGAAGGGGTCTAAGCAGATCTTGGGGCCCCTCCAGCTCCCATGGGGACAGGCTGAACAGCCTGGTGGTTGAAGGCAGAGTCTGTAGCCAGATTGCCAGGACCTAATCCTGGCTCACTGCTTATCTGCATGTTCCTGTGCAACTTATTTTCCCTCTCTATGCCTTCCTTTCATCACCTGTTAAATGCAAACAATGTTTGCCTCAGAAGGTGGCTATGAGGACTAGGTGACCACCTGTAATGCTTAGACCAGTACCTGGTGCTACAAAAGTGCTACACATGTGTTCATGAACAATGCTGTTGTGCAGCCAGAGAAGGTGCATTTTCAGGTATTTTATACCTTGGGTTTTTGTGAAGTTTTAGTTTAAAGAACTACTTTAGAAGCTAAAAAAAATGTCTGAAGGCCACTACTCCACGCTTTCCTGCCATGAGCTGTTGCCTCTCCAAGGAGGTGAAATCTCCTGGTGACCATCCTAGAGGTTTCATCTCCAGAAGCCGGGAGAGGACCTGACATCTCTGGGCCCCAGGGAGTTGGTCTTGGGAAAGACCAGGTCCTGGAGCCTGCAGGTGGGCAGCAAGGGACAGAAGGCACCTGCACGCCCAGCAGGTGAAGCTCCCGCTCAAAGGCAGTGTGCACCCGGTGGAAGGACTCAGCGGTGCTGGCGTCCAGTGCCACATCCTCAGGCAGTTCGCGGTGCTTCTCATCAATAAGGCCCAGGATCTCGGTGCCTGTGTAGAAGTAGCGGTGCAGGTCGTAGGAGGTGGCCAGCAGCTGCATGCGTGTGTCAATAAGCTCCAGCAGGTCTGCCCACATCTCATTTAACCCATCCTTCCACTCGGCGATGGTGGCTGCCTCGCTGTGGCCCGCGTCGATGAGCTGGTCAATGATGGCATTCACGTAGTCCACCCGCTCCTGTCCGATCGCCCCTGTCTCCCGGGCAAAGTCCCGGAACTTGTCCCGGAGCAGCTGCATAAACAGAAATGCAGTTACTGGGGCTCAGCGGTAGGGTGGGGTAATCACCCTAGCTGAAGACTGTCCCAAGTGGAGCTGTGCCCTCACACACCTTCCTCAGGTGGCCTGCATTCACACTGGTGCACCTGTATCTCTTGGCAGCACTTTGCAACTCGCAGGGTCTGTGTGTGTGTGTGTGTGTGTGTGTGTGTGTGTGTGTGTCTGGAAACACGGCTCCTGTGTCTACTGTATTCGAGAATGACAAAGCAGTCACAGTGAGTACTTACAGTAACATGGTCAAAGTCTTGCCCCATTTCTTGGGAAGAGGCCACCAGCTCCTTTTCTGCAATCCACTGCTCCAAGTCATCTGTCTCCCTCTTCAGCTGGAACAGGTGGTACATGTTCTCCAGCTTCCGCTTGCGTTCCTCTGCCATGAACTTTAGCCCTGCATAATGCTTTTCCACTTGCCCCTGAAGTCTGATGATCTGTTCCCTAGAATTCAAAACAGGAGGGCACTCAGAGACAGACAGAGAACAGGAGCAACTGCTCAGAGGAGCCAACCTACCGACTCCTCCCCAGCCCTGGGGCAGTGAAAGATAGGGAAGCGAGGTTAGAACAAATGGTTACAACTTCCCTGGAGAAGTGCTGGGGACAGAAAGAACCATCCCTTAGACTATGATGCCTCAGGGGATGACAGATATGTGTCCCCTTGTCTCCCCACCCCAGGTGGTGCCTCCTGCCATTGTCTCTCACTCTGGGAAGCTCAAAGAGACAAAGTGGAGGGCCTCCATGCTTCTTGCAAGGAGGCTGATGGGCAGCAGCGCCTGAGCTGGACTCCAGGAGCAAAAGGCCCTGCTTAGCTCCTTAGGGAGGGACCTGAAGCACCATGGGCTCATTCTTAGGGCTCCTTGGGAGATGTTCGGGTGGTTGCTGAGGGCCTACTGCTGTGGATGCCCTGAAGGTGGCTGAGGATGGGGCCACGTCTGTGCAGCAGCCTGGGCGTGTGGCCCAGTAGGCTCCCATTTACGTACAACCACCACAGCTGAATAGTTTAGACAGGTAGGGGTTTTCTACCTTCACTCCCATGTGAGGATTTTGCTAAGACACTGTGAGACCCTAAAGTACCTTCTGGGCTGTAAAGAGAAAAGCAAAGTTAGCCTTCAGTGTCTCTTAGCATAGTCTTACTCCTCAAAGAAGTGGAGTTCTTGGTTCACCAAGAGGGTAGTTTTGCTATTCCATTTTCTAATCATTTTGCAAAATAAGCCTTGGCTGGTCCTGTTTGAAGTTACTCAGACAACACAAAGGCACAAAATGGAATGGGGACAATCAGCCATCCAGAAAGCAGCTTTCTCAAACCCATAGTTTTCATGAGAACTGTTCCTGTTTACCCACTTGGACCTGAAGGGATCCTGGTTGGTGGGTCCCTGGCCTGCTGCCCATGCCAGCCAAGCTGCCCCAGCGGGCACACTCACCCTTCAGGGTGGCCTGCAGACATCAGGCTCTGGGCCCTGCCGGCCAGCTGCTTGATGTTCCTCTCATACTCCTCCAACTTGCGCTTCTGCCGCAAGTGCCGCTTCAGCATCACAATGGCGCCCTCTTCATCCTAGGGGACAGTGACTGTCAGTGACAGTCCAGCTCCTAGCGATGCCCAAGAGGGGACAGAGCCAGCTTGCAGGACGCCCACAGGAGAACCGTGCCTTCCTATTACTCTTGTTCCCAGCAATGCCCACACTCTACTCCTCTCGACTCCCAATTCTGATCTGATACCCAGCTTCCCAAGCCTCATGTCAACCTTCTGCCCCACGCAAACTTCCTACACTGCTCAGCTTATAGAGACCCCCTCACCTCGCCTCTCACTCCTTCCCACAGCAGTTCATCAGTACAGAATCAATGGCACAAAACAGGTGAAGAACTCGGGTTAGAGCAAATCTAAGATGGCAAACAGGGCACCGGCTGCAGTATGCATTGTAGGGGGTGTTCTCAAAAGGAGGGGTGCCTTGAGAAGGATGCATTGAGAGACAGCAAGGAGAGCTAGGGGGTTCCTCTTACACCCTCCCTGCCTTCACTCCCCACACACCTGGACTGGACTGCCCACTGACTGCCCACCTCCAGCTCTCCCTCTCAGCACCCAGCCTGGCACTCCCTGCCAGAGCTGACCTCGGGGACCTCATCGGAGATGACGTAGTACTCCTGCTCGCTGATCCAGGCCTGGGCCTCGCCGGCATCCAGGTAGTACTGTTGCGCCTCGTTGGTGTCCCGCAGGCGCTGAAGCCGCCTGGCTGCTGCCTCCCGCAGCGTATTCCATGAGCTCTGCAGTTGTTCCAGGTGCTCCTTGATGTCCTCACAGTCAATCTCCCCTGCCTCCACCAGCTGCCGCCCTCTCTGCAGCACGTCCTCCACCCGTGGCACGTGGCCCAGGATCTCATTCTGCAGCGTCTGTGGTCAGTGGGGAGGGGCTCAGAGGTGAGGCCTTCCCACCAACAGGATAGTGGACAGCACCTGGCACCATTCGCCCCCTCCCACTCAGGGAAGCCAGAGCAGAGCAGGTGGTGGCCATAAAAACTGCCAAGACAACGTGCCAGATCCTGGCACCAGGCACTTCATATTGTTCTCCCTTCTAGTTCCTGAAGCCTTCTGGGTTAAGAGGAAACTGCACCGTTAAGTACCGGGAGGGCAGCAAGTAGCAAAGCCAGTATTTGAGCACGGCTGTCCCTGACCCCAGAGCCTGTGCTCTTGACTGCTCCCTATTCTTCTATTTTTCAGCGGACCTTGAATTCTTAGCTCTATGTGATGGAGGAGAGGAAAATAATTTTTCAACAGCCTTTTGATATCTTATTTTAGTGGCTTTCGCTCTATATGCATAACAGTTTACAGTTGCCCTTGGTTCACAGGTTAGGGTTTTGTTTTGTTTCTCTCCATTTCTATTTCCCAAATCTTCAGTGAGCCTTGTATTATTTCCTGTTTGAGTCTTTGATCACCAACAAGGCATTTCCTCCCCCTCTGGTGACTGGGTCCATGGCCATGCATTACTGGCTTTCTGGGTCCTAGAGGCCTGAGCCCTGCTGCTTCTTGCAGGTGGGCTCTTGGCTCCTCACAACCTTTCCAAAATTTCCCCATGGCTTTTAAACCATCTGGAGGGCGGGGGCAAGAGCAGTACGGGTGGGCAGTATAGTGACTGTCAGCATTCACAGTATATAGAACTAGCAGTTACCACAAGTCACCTGACTTGCTGGGATGCTTTGTTCTCTTTATACCCCTGTGCAGTATGCTTATGGTGTACTCTTCCCTGATTTCATTCATTTGCCACATATTTAAGTAATTTCCTAGGTACTGGACCGTGTCTATATTCTAGGACAAGCGGGAATAAAATAAGCAAAACCCCTGCCCTCATAGAGCTTCCACTGTTATAGAGGAAACAGACGGTAAACCTGTCAATAAATGAATAAATGTGGATAATGGGTGCTGTGAGGAAAACACACCAACGAGATAAAGAATGTCCGCTGAGGTGTGATGGTCACCTTCGCTGGGGAATAGGGAAGGGCCTTTCTGGGGAGACATCTGAGAGAGACCTGAGTGATGAGGAGGAGGCAGCCACATGGGGATCTGGGGCGTGAGCGCTGCTGGGGAGAGGGAAGAGCAGGCACGAAGTTCCTGGGGTGGAAGTAAGCCTGGACTGTCTAAAGGCCAGAGAGAGGCCCAGAAAAACTAGGAGGCTGTGAAGGAGGCCCAGAGTGATGGGAGAGGAGGTTTAGAGAGAGGCAGGAGCCAGGCTGGGCAGGAGAGTGGTCCTAACCATGGCTGTACATTGAAGAATCTGGGAAAACAGATACAGCCAGGGGCCCATCGCCAGAGATCCTAATTAATTGATCAGAGGTGGCACTTGGGCATTTGTATGTTTAAAAGATCCCCCAGGTGATTCTAACATCCAGGCAGCATTGAGAAGCATTTATGTGGCACCTTGCAGGACCTAGTCAAGTTGCAATAGGTAGCCATTAGTGGTTCTCAAAGTGGGGTCCCAGTTACCATAAGTATCAGCCTCACCTAGGGTCTTGAGGGAAATACGAATTATCAGGCTCAACTCCCATAGGCTGAGATTCAGTAGATCTGGGACGCAGCCTGGTGAACAAGTCCTCTGGGTGAGTCTGATGTGCACTGAAGTTTGTGAACCATTGCAATTGAGTGTATGACTAAATGCAAGTTAAGCTTTAGCTGGGCTAGCCTAGAATAGTCTTTGCTACAGCAGCCAGGCTCTCTCAAGAGATTATCTTTCGCTTCTTGGTTAGGGAAACCCCACACATATTTGTCTTGCCCTTTTCCTGCAATAACAACTGGCAGTCATAGGAGTCAAAAATCTTTCGGCAATAACACTTACTGAGGCTAGACAGAGTTGAAAGTCTCCAGTGTTGGAAGGACTGAAGTTGGCTCACTTTAGTTGAGGATGCTGGGGTCCCAAGGATACTGTCTTCTACCAGCCTCCTTCTTTTGACTGAAGGTTGTAATGTTAACAGAAACCCCACCTACTACCTTCTAGACCAACTCCCTGCATGTGGCTACTGGAGCTTCTGTGACTAGATCCTGTCAACTGGAAGCAAATGGCCTAAAGGAACTTTTAAGAAACCTCTTTGAATATAATTCAGGCCAATGCACAGACTCTATGAACAGATGTCAGCTGCTGCTACTTTGGGGAAGGAAGTACTGTGTGCCATGACCTTCCTTCCTTCCCCAAAGGACTGCAAGACCAACTGGCATTCTAGGGTACACTGCTCTTCTTTGGGGTACATTCCCAGGCTCTCCTTGCTCATGGCTGTGGCTGCCCCACTTCCTGACCCAGAGAGCGGACCCGGCAGGAGGAGGGACTCTCTACCCAGAGTCAGAGTCTGCAGTCAGCCCCCAGCCAGACATGGAGGCAGCCCTTCCCCATGTAGCTGGCCTGTTTGGAAGATACAAGAGGAAGTGTGGCAATGCTCACTTCCAGAGTTCTGACCAGGCCCATGGAAGTTAAGAATTAGGCCTAAGAGAGAGCAAAACAGCAAATGCATGTTGGCTTCAAAGGCTCCAAGTCCAAGTTTAGTGGCTTCTTAGTGGGGTTTGAGCCCAAGTACCCTCATGTGTCCAGAGAAATGGGGCCTACTTACTCTGAGGACACCTAGTGGTCTGAGTTCAGCCCTGAAAGAGGGGCAAGGCAATGCTGGGAGAGAAACCAGGAGCTCTTGGCCTCCTCTCAGGGAGGCTGTGGGATATAGAAGCTGTAATGCACATTACACCCCAGGGCCTCTGGATCCTGCACTCACCTGTGCCCTGATGGGTCTGAGTGGCCCTAAATCCCAAAGCACCTGGCTTCTCCCTCACCTGGGTTTGTCCCAGCATTCTCTCTGCCATCACCAAAGCTACTCTTTTCATGAGATCTGGGGACTGCAGAGCTACCAACAGGAACAATTATCTGCTGTTGTTGGCCTTGTATAGGTCAGGGCAGGGCAGGGCAGGGGCAGGGGCAGGGAGCAGGCAGGGGGGATTGACCCGAAGAGGCAAGACTTACCTGGTTCTTCTTCATGAACAGCTGCACAGTTTGCAGGTTAGTGCCGTAGTCATCCGACTGGGCCAGAGGCAGCCTCTCCTCCACCCAGAGCTGCAGAGACCAGAAGGGGACAGCTGATGACAGTCATGGCCGTCCTTTCCTGAGCACTCACTGTGGGCCAGAGCCTTGCCTGCCATGTCTCCCTGGTTTGTCCCAGTACTCCATCATGGTTTTGTCTCCATTTTATAGATGGGGACATTTTGGTATTTTGAACTGAGGTTCCAAATAACTTGCTCCTGGTCACATGGGGGAAGGTAACATAGCTGGACCTTGAACGTAAGTCTGTAGGGCCCTAAAGTCCATGAGTGAGTTCCTATTCAAAAACCACTGGCTTTACTTTTATATTTAATGCAATCATCACAACAAGCCTATGAGATAAGGCGGTAGGATGGCGAGACGTGTGCTACCAAGAATTTCCCTGGATGATTGCCAGTTATCTGGATGGCAGCAGCTGGCTCAGCTGTTGGGTGGTTGAGGGCTCTGGCCCACTCACCGTCTCATCCTCTAAGTCCCGGCTGATCTGCAGCTTGTCTCTGGATGATTCCAGCTGCTTCTTCCTCCTCCCCAGGGGCTCCAGGAGGTCCAGGAACCTCTTCTCCATGTTCAAATCTGCATCTCCCACCTCCTCTCTCTGGGAGGGCGCCTCGGCAAACAGCTCCCCCAGCTCCTCCTTCCGCACATTCACTTGGTCCTCCACGCGCTGGGACGCAAGGGATAGTGTTGGCACCAGCCGTAGCACCCAGCAGCCCCTTGTCCTCTTCATCATTCATGTCCCACCTGCCCTAAAAGCTCAGTTTGAGCCCAGCCTCCCCCAGGAAGTCTCCCTGGATGACCCCACTCTTCTTTCTTTCCCTCCAGATGCCTGTCCTATACTTCTCCTGCATGCTTTTATTAACCAACTGGATCCCATTCTTACCCACTGCAAAGGGGTAGGAGATAGGTTATGAACCAGGAGACATGTTTGTATGATAAAGGCCAGCCCAGCTAAGAGGAACAGAAGGAATACTTACTTTAAGGTTCCAGATATGCTCCCCAAGATCTCCCCTATCACAACATTCCCAGTCTACAACCCGCTCACATGCCTTCAGCTTAGCCAACATCCGGTTGACACTGGTCAGGTCCTTTCCCGGGTCCGACTGCAGCTGGTCCTCCATGGCACTGATCCACTTACTGAGGTCAGCGTGGATCTGTGAGCGCAGGTAGGAGTTCCAGGCAGCTGAGAGGTGTTGGGCCTTTTCCTGCGTGGTGGTCTGAAGCTCATTCCAGAGCTGGTGCAAGGCTTCCAGCTTCTGGGATACTTGGTCTTTGAACTGGGGCTTCTCCTCCATCAGCTGCTTTCCTTCCTGTGTGGGGAGGAAGGAGAGTTCACCCTCTGAGGCTGGGCAGCCTTGGAGCAGCCCTGCTCCATGTGGCTGTCAGAGGTTAACCGACCAGAGGTCAGTAAGGCAAAGAATCTACCTAGAACTTGGGAGAGACTCAACTAAAAGACTATACACCCCTAGAGTTATTTGCAGTAAAAGGAGGGGCAGGAAGGGCCATGTTTGGGGCAAATGACTCAGATTGTACTATGGGGAGCTGTAGACAAGGGTCAGGTGGTACTAAATTTTTTTTTATTAAAAAAAAGATTCAAGATTCATCCAGGTGCAACCAGGATAGAAACATCCCTAAGTTCCAGCCACTCTTGTCTTCCCAGAGGCTGTGTGCTAACCTTTGGTGATGTCTTTTAGTTACTGAGTTTGTCTCATCTGGTTTCACCTGCATAAATGTACCTTCTTTGGGTGGTACAGTATGATCTGACCTGGGCCTAGGAATACACGCTGCTAGTAAAGTTAATATTTATTGAGTGTCCAATAATTGCCAAATACTATTCTAATGCTTTAATGTAACAGTACCCTTGGTGGGTACTGTTATTATCCTCCTTTCACAGATGAAGAAACTGAGGCATAGAGAAGTTAAAGAGTCAGACAGTCCAGCTCGGAGCCTGCACCCTTACCACTATGGACACAACCCAGTATCGACCATAAGCCTGCCTCTTCCTGGATGACCACATGAGGAGGATCTGACTCTAGCCACACTTTGACTTGGGCCCCTGGGCAAGCTTGTTTAGAGGGGACTCTTGGTTCTCAATCTCCAAGGAGTGTGAATGACGGCTCCTTGGTGGTTCTGTCCACCACCAATGAGGGTCAGTGGTCCCCTGGACCACTCTGCTGCACATGGGCAGGACACTGCTGGGGCCCTGGTGAGGCTAATGGAAGGTGAACAGAGATAACTGCTGTCCTGACACTGGATGCCAAAGCTCTAACGTGGGTGTCCTCAGTGTCCTGACTGTCTTCAGATTCAGGGGACCCAGAAGATACCAGTTCTGACCAGGCTTAACAAGACTAGCTATTCCAGGAGTTATGAAGGCTTAACTACTATTTAGAGAAGTGTTTTCATTCCCAAGTTCTATTTCGCCCAACAAGCTTCAAGACGGTGTCTATGCTCTGTCTGAAGCCCCATTCAGGTGAGCACATCTGAGTAGAGAGCCCTGCACCTCTTGATTTACTCACTGCATCAATGATCTCTAGCTGCGCTTGATGAGAAGCGAGCTCTGCCATAAATTCCCGATGCTTCTGCCATTTGTTGTGAAGGTTTCGCACATCATCGTAGGAGACATCCTGAGGTGTCAGCAGCTTGTCATTGATCCAGAGACTGAGCTGTGGGCAGAAAGAATGGGTTCAGTGGTCCCTGAGTGTACTTTCTTGGCCAGGGGCTCAGGGCAGGACCTGCTGCCTGCCTCTAGCTGCAGGAGAAGACCAAGGGGAGGAGGTATGAACACAGCAGAGTAATACCCTCCAATTCTGGATCCCTAACTTCCAGTACAGGAAGTTGTTTCAGGGCTAAAACATGGGCTCTGGTGTGTCTTTCTCATTAGAGTGTGTGCCGTGGGACACCAGGCATATTTATGCTTCTCTCCATATTTCCAGGACCTAGGACAGGGCCTGGCCTATTGCAGGAATCCCTGAGTGCTTCCCAGATGGACAGATAAATCTACCTTTTGGCCACAGGGTGAGAAATCATTAAAAAACACAGAGAAAATGTTATCTGAGGAAGATGCCAAGGGCAGAGCCTATAATTAACAATGAGGGAAGAAGTGTAATGAGCATCTAATATTTCCAGGAGGTCCTGGTGCCATACAAGCCTGGTCTGTACCTAGGGCAGAAGTGGATGAAAACAGTCATTAAGGGCTGAGAGGAAAGGGGTATGAGGATGGGAGCAAGAAAGAAGCCCAAGAAAGCCCCATTCCACATGGAAGTACTGTTCATGGAGGGACCTGGCATGCAGGTCAAAGGCCTTCCTTAGACAGCTCGCTCCAGGCTAAGCAGGGACCTTCTGAGCCAGCAGGTCTTCAATTGGGAAGCTTGTTGAAAATGCTGCTCTCTCTCACCCCTTAAAATTCTGATTCATCTGGGCCCCACTTGGGCTCAGAAACCTGAATTTATCTAGGGCCAGGACTGGCTCCATAATTTTCAGTGCAAAATGGAAACACTCAAAATTATTTAGAATTTCAAGATGGCAACAGCAAAGCATTAAACCAAGTATGGGGCCCTTCTAAGCATGGGGCCTTGTGTAAATGCACAGGTTGCATGCTCTGAAAGCTGGACCCAGGCCTTGAGCAACTCTAACATAGACAGTCCTCAGGCCCTTCTTTGAGAAACCCTGTCCCAGACTTGGCAAATTTAAAGATGACTTTAAAAAGATTCCAAAGAAATAAAGAAAGAAAAAGAATTGTAGAACTAAAGATTCTAGAGGATGACATAAGCTATCAAATATTTAGAGTTCCCCACCCATGGAATCCCAGATTCCTGAGTTAGAAAGAGTCCCTCTGGACATTCCCTAGGGCACTTTGTCCCTAGAAAGGAATCTCCTGCACAGTGGCCCACCTTGCCGGTGACTCACCTCCTGGCAGTTCTGGAGGAACTGCTGGAGTTCTAGGTTGTTCTTCAGAAGAACCGCAACCTCCTTGGCCTTCGTCTTGTTACTCTCGTGCCTGCAAGAGAAGCCAGAGCCACAGCGGCAACAGTGCTGAGCCTGCAGCCCTCACACAGCAGCAGCAGCCCCTCCCGGCTCCAGTCCCCTGACCCTGGGGGCCGAGAGTACCTGTCCGCAATCAGCTGCACCTTCTCCTTGATCTTGTCTGAGTAGAAGCTTTCCTCAGCTACCAGCCTGCTTCCAGAGTCCATAGGACTCAAGACCTTATCCTGGGTGTTCTCCATAGATGCACAGAAATCCTCAAATTTCTGCATGCCAGCATTTGCAGCTTCTAGGGAGTTTGGAAGCTCCCAGTGAGCCAGAGTATATTCCTGTTGAAGCAAGTTTCCACAAGGCATGAAGACAAGCTGTGGAGGGGTGAGGGTACCTGCCAGGAAGGAGTGCCATGTGCAGTCATACAGGCTACAGCATGATGGTGCCCCCTGGAGTTGTGCAAGGAAGAGGGTCCTCAGGCCTCGGCCCCCACCCTCACTGCAGGGGCACCCAGTGGACAGTCTGTGCCTAAAGCCACATAGAGGAGTACCTGCTCGGGAGAAAATTCACTTTTCTAGCTTCTCACTGACCCAAGAACAATGCATACTTTGGGGCACAGGGCTGGAAAAGGCTTTTGATATGGAAAAAAAAAGGATTTCACCCCCAATTAGTGGCTAGAGTCCAAGGAAAGTGTAATTTGGTTCCTGAGCCCTGTAGCACATCTGTAGATTCCCTAGTGCTGCTGCCCTGAGAGACTCCATACCCCCAGCCCTGACTGCCTCTCCCTACCTGGTTGCTGAGGATAGCTTCAGCCTGCTTGGCATCTCTCTGGAACTTCTGGAATTCAAGGCACTGGGCAAGGGAGTGGCTGCGGCTCTCCCACATCCGCCGTAGGGCATCCCAACCAGTATCCAGGCCCTCCAGCCGCTGGCCCAGCAGCTGATACTCTGGGTCTGTCTGGCCATGGATCACCTTCTCTCCAGATTCCTTGACATGCTGGTAGGATTTTTGGTGCCCTTCAATCTCTTTCTCAATGTTTTTATGCTGCGTTTGGAGCTCTTCGGCTTCTGGGAGGGACTCAGGCATGTGCTCAGAGGCCACGGCCTTCTGGGCCTTGGACAGCCAAGCCTGGAAGTCATCCAGTTCCCGCAGGAATTCCTGCAACTGGCTGGCTTTACCCAGTGAGACCTCCTGGTCCTCCAGTGCTTGCTGCAGTTCCTTCCACAGGTCCTCCACATACACCTGCCGCCGGCCAATGTCCTCCCTCTGCTCAGGGTGAGACTCCATCAGCCACTGTGACTCACGTGCCAGGTCACCCACACGGGACTTGATGGTGTCCACGTCACGCTCCAACCCTGACAGCTTCCGCTGGATGGCGATGATGCCTGCCAGATCCTGGTCCAGGTCCTTTGTGGATTTCACTACTTCTGTCTTGTCCACGATCCACTTGCTAATCTCCTCACAGTCCACGCAGAAGTTGTGCATCCGGAGTGCCGAGTTCACTTTCTGCCGCCGGTCTGACACAATGGTCTGGAATGCCTGCCACCTGCCATAGAGGACATGGTTGGGGGACAGAGACACCCTCTTCCTAAACACTTCCCACACTGCATCCCTTCCCAGATTTCCCACCAGAGTCTCTCCCCATTAACCTGGCATGCCGAAAACCATCTACCCAACAAACTGCAGTGAGTAAAATTCATTTATCCAATTTTACCCAAAACAATATAACTGCCAATCAAATCTTTCCATCAGCAGGAGGCGAGCAGTGATGTGATCCTACCATAAGTAAAGGAATGTGACATTTAGTTAGGCTCTGCATATAGTTGAGTTTCCCCAGATTTTTTGAAATGCTGAAAATAATTAAAAAGCCCACATTATCAACGTCAAGAAAGCTTCAGGCCATAGGGCTCCAGCTGCCCTAGAGGAACCAAGCAAATGCCTAAGACTACTTCTAAGTGCCCAGGGCCTATGAAAATCACTTTGGTTCTAAAGGAAAAGAGGCCTGGTGAAGAGGTGGAACAGGAAGAGGAAGGGGGGATGGGAAAAGCTGGGATTATAAATGAAATGAATAACAATCTTATCCTTCAAGTGCAGTGCTGGAATGAAACTGGCAGATGTCCCGGGGGCTAAAGGCTGGACTGCAGCTCCCATCAGCCTGGGCCCAGGCCGCCAGGGACACTTCCCCTGGACCTAGATTTACTCATTCTGATCACTGTAATATATGATCACATGAGGGTATGTTGAATGTTCATTTGCTTTTTGAGTCCATCTTTCTTGAAAGCTACAAGGTATAAACATCATGTCAGCCTTTGGGAGAACGCATTCCTAGCCAGACTTTGCCCTGTGGAATGCATGACTTAGAGAGAAATTAAGACAAGCTCATAAAATAGCTACAGCATAAAGTACAATGTTACCTATCAAGCAGAGAGGACGGAGGGAGCTGTGAGGAGCGGTGGAAGTGATGGCGGCGGGTTTGAGGTGGCCAGCTAAGCCGTAGCTCAAGGAAGAGATCTCCAGCGCCCCCATGGGAGGGATCTCTTTAAGGGCAGGGCCCTGAGTATCTGGGTTACCTTTGTATCCCCACCCCCTGGGGGTTGGTGGTTGAGAGACTAGGCAGATGGAAGGAAAGATAGGGTTTCATCTTGGGAACTGGGAAGGAGAGGAGCCTTGACTGGCCTGAAGGATGGGCAGGATTTGAAACGTGTGGTTGGAGGAGAATGAACTCTGGCTGAGAGAACAGCAGGGGAGTTGGGGCAGGGCCGTGGTAGAGGTAAAGAATGACGGTTGGTCGAAAAAATATGTGAAGAGCTATCACATGGACAAACAATCAGAATAGGTTTTGATCCCTCTAAACTGCAGATCCAGAACCAATGTACATAAATTTCAAGGTAGATTTCCACTCAATATGAGATCAAACTTTCTATTCAAAAGGAGTTGCCCTAAAATGGGACTGTTGTATCGTGAGGGGATGAGCTCCCCATCCCTGGGAGTGTTTGTGTACGACGCAGGCTGTCTGGGGTACATGGCTAGACTAGAAGATTTCTCAGGTATCTTTAACTCTCAGATTTAATGGAAAACCACCTTGCCATTTCATGTCTCAGGTTTTCTTTCACCTAAGGATGGAAGAACCTTGATGTATTTCACTTAGGATGGTGCTTGGCTTAGAGGTCTGTAAAGATCTTTCTCTGATGATAGCTCATTAAGGCAACAGATATATAGCAGACAAGTTCTTCCAGTCTGTCTCATACGTGCACACATTCACCCACACATGCACACATACACACTTACACCCTCATTACTTTCAAGCCTAAAGAAGAGCAAAGAAATACCCTCCTTCTCTGCATAAACTTCAGATTACAGAGGAATCTCCATCTTTGGAAGCTGAGACAATCAGCCCCACTCCAGTGACTCCAAGCATCCCAGTCACCCCTGGCCTCTCCTTAGGAGCCCGCCAGAGTCCCCACTGTGCTCGGCCCTTTCCTTTACAATTGAGCCTTCCCTAACCCCACTATTAGATGGCCTCAGGCAAAGCAAGGCTCAGGCACCATGTAGGGAAAGGCACTCAGGTGATGGAAAGGTGGTGAACATGGATACCGTGTGTGCAGGGCCCAGGGTAACAAACAGGGTCACAGGACTGTCCTCAGAGATCCTCGAGGAACTCCTGGGCAATTAGGCGCAGTACTGAAAGCACCCATCTCCAACGGCTCCTCGGGGCCTGTTCTTTGTTCTGGCCAAGAAGTGTGCTCAAGGCTTCCTGCTAATTCTCTTCTTCATTCAAGCCAGCCTCATTACTAATATTGCAGTTTGGTGCAGGCAGGAGCTTTTATGGACAGTGCTTAAGAGCTCTCCGGGCGCAATTTTCCCTGCCTAAGAATGTGCAGGGAAACGTGGCATGAGGACCATATGGCTTGATTCTAACTGTGGGTGCACTCAGAACACCCCCTCCATCACACAGGACCCCCACCCCCACACCACACAGTGGGGAGAACACATCTCCATCCCTCCCGGACCAGTCACCACACAGGTCCCTCCTCCCTGCTGCTACAGTTCCAGGGTCAGAGGGAGACTGGCTGAGAAAGACAGGTATTCTGAGGGTACAACCTGGCAGGGCACAGCACGTGTGCTAATTTTGGGGCTACATCCCAGGGTTGTGCCGGGTGCCCAGATATGATGCCCCCAGCCCTACCCACACCCAACCTGGAATTCAGGCCTTCCTGGCACTGCACCACTTCTCCACTACGAGGGTGGCCATTCTCTACCAGGCTGTTGGCTGCAGCGTTCACACCATCAATCTGCGTCTTCAAAGTCTCCATGTCCTCGTCCAGGATTTCAAACCTGATATGGACAGAGAAAATGAGGATTGGTAAGGCATCGCGGCCACTTCATTGCCTACCACCCTGTCTCCAGAAATGTAGCTCTTGCTTTCTCCTTCCACCTCCTAAATATGTTTGACCAGGTAAAGGGGGAGAAAGAAGAAAGACATGGTGTCACACCCTATGTCCTGATTCATGGGTCTAATTTTATGGTTTAGCATTACTTGGACTAGGCTAGGAAAGAGCTGGTTACCTACTAGTACATAGGCCACTGACTCAACAAAGAGGCACAAGGGGGCAAAAAGAGGTGTCGGGGATTAACTGCCACCGAGTCCACCTGCCATGCCTCCACTGCCCCAGCTGTTGCTCGTGGGCCATAATTCCACTGCCTTGACACCTTGGCCTGAAGGACTTCCCTCCTCAGCCAGGGGCTCCATCCCTGGGTAGAGAAGGAAGAGCTGCTGAGGGAAGGGGCATTCTGTGGCTATGAAAGCCGACCCCTCTCGGATAAGGGCCCAGGTTCCTTCAGCATCAGCATGGGACCATATCATGTACTCCAGGGAGTGACCTCTCCTGCTCCTCAACTCCCTTGATTTGTACTTAGGATGCTGGAGGGACACAGACTTGGGGCACGCTTCCCCATGCCAGAGTGCTGCTGGAACTTGAATATTGGCCATGGCCTTGCAGGCCAGTGGTTTACAAACTGGTCCCTGTAGCTCCTTGGGGTTCTGTGGCTCAAGGACTGCCACACAAAGCTAGTGCTGGTGGGGTCCCAGCCTCTCACCTCCCCCATCACCAAACAGCTCTCCTTTCCTCGGTGTTATATATCAGGGGCTCCATATATAAGTCATTTGAACAAAGACTGCTCAGTGAAAAGTAAGCAAGTAACTGGACCAGAAAGATTCCCTTTGCTTTTTTTGAGGAAGGCCCCATAGGGTGAAGTTCTCAAAGCCACAGAGGCAGATTAGAACCTGTGACTCTGGGTCTCATAGCCTCCAGAAGAGATCTTTGCTGAACTCGAGGCTGCCCACACTAAGTGGAGGCAGAATGCAGGCCATGGGGCAGGGAGGGTTGGAAGAGAAGGCCTGGCTCTGACCTGTGCTGCACGACCTCCAGGTCCTCCAGCGTGTCTGGCATTTCCATCTTGTCCAGCCACTTCTCCTTCTCATCCATCCACAGTTTACAGGCGTCTGTCTCCCCAAATACTGTGTACAGGTCCAGGATGTCCTGCAGTCTCTGCCGACGCAGGTTGGCCTGGGCCACCACCTGCTGGTAGAGCTCCCGGAGGGCCTGCAGCCGATTAGTCACATCTGGGGAATCCCGAAACTCTTGGGGGAAACTCTGGGCCTGCTCTTCCAGCTGCTCCATCACTCGGCAGCTGGCCTCCAGTTCCTCTAGGAAGTCCCTGTGCTTCTTCTCCAGGGCCCGTATGGCCCCTTCACCCTGTGTTATGTCTTCGCCTGAGAGCAGCCGGTTGGCATCTTTCAGCCAAGCCTTCAGGTCATCTGCATCACCCTGGAACTGGAAGAAGTTCTCAGCATCCTGGAGGTTCTTCTTGCGGAAGTCAGCCAGCTCCTTCAGCTGGTTCCACTGGGCGGACACCTCCTCCCTCCGGGCCTTGATCTGCGGGTGCCCAAACTGCTTCCGTGCAACCATGCCATCAGCGTCCTCAAAGATCTGCTCCAGGTGGGCGTCCAGCCCACGGAGCTCATCCTCAAAGGCCTTGTGCTTGCGTTGCAAGATGAGTACGCTGGTCAGGTCCCTGCCATAGTCCAGGGAGGAATAGATCTGTTCCTTCTCCTTGATCCAGCTCTCGGCCTCATCCATCTCCCAGAAGAACTTCCAGAGCCGCTTTGACTGCTCCAGCTGTGCCTTCCGCCCAGCTGCCATGTTGCTCAGCTCCTCGAAGCACTGCTCCAGGTGGCTGACACGGTCCTGGATAACCTGGGGGTCACAAGGCTGGTACCCTGGGAGGAATGAGAGGAGGGAGGACAAAAGGGGTGAGGGCTTTGTTCGTGGGCAAGCTCCAGATCAGCTGCTGGGCTAGAAGCACATGATACAGAGCTTGCCATCTCACTGGGACCTTGGGATTGGATTCGGGGGGTCCCCAGGTGTTCAGGGAGCGGCCACATTCTAATCTGTTCCCACTAAAACTTCAGGAATAAGTCGGCTCATCTCTCAGTAGAAATACACAATGTGGAGTTATTTTTAAAAAGCCCAGACACACATTTCAAGATGATACCCCAAGTATGCAGCAGGGACTCTTATTTAAGACCCAGAGCTAGAGACCTGCCATAACTTGAATTAGCAGAGAGAATGAAAGATGGATGATGCTTACAGACACCATCTGACTACAGATTACCAAAGCAGTTGCCTGCTTGCTGGAGGGTTTTGCTATCCCTCAAGCTTCTTTCTTGCACCATTAGTTGATGGAAGGAGCAGAATTCTAAAGCTTGGAGATTTATCCAAGCTGGGGGGCTGGAGTGCTGAGCTATAGGATGGTGCTCTGGCTCCAGAGATCTCAACAGGGGGCCCTCCAAGGCCTCACCTTTCTCTTCAGTGAACTGCAGCGTGGCTGTGGTGATGGCTTTCACTTTGTCCCCTTGGATGGCGATGTCAGCCTCCATCAGCTTGTGCTTCTGTAGCAAGTCTTCGACCTCCAATAAGTGCTTCCCAAACTCGGCTGACAAGAGGTGAGCCTGCAGACAGGACAGATAGGATAGAGGGAACAAGGAGAAGTGAAGAGACATGCACATTAGAAGAGACCCCTCCAAAGGGAGTGTCCATGGTATCTGGGCCGGGGCAAATCAGCAGCTGCTGGAAAATGGCTCTGCTCACCCTGGAAGAAGCTATAGAGCAGTAATGCCTATGGGAGGGACCACAAGACTGACTCAGGGAATATCTTAGAGAAGCTCAAATCCCCACACCATCTCCTGCATCTGTCTTGAGGTTTGGGGCCTGGGCATATGTATTTTTAAAAAGCTCCATGGTCAGTCTGCTGTGCCTCCTCACGTGAGACCTGCTGTGGTGGAGGGAGAGGAGATTCAGGCTTCTTGGTTGCCCCTGTGCTGGGAGATCTGGATTCTAACCAGAGTCAAATTGCGATTACTTAGAGCCTGACTCTGTAGGCTCCTGATTAACATCTGTCTCTCCTAGCCCCTGTGGGTTGCAGGCTGAGCTACTATGAACCCAGGATTTCTTGATTACTGGAGATACCGTAGACTTGGGCTGGTAACTTGTCTGGACCTGAGTGAGCCAAGCAGTCAATAGGCAGATGCAGCCAGACACTCTACCGCCATTCCATTGTGACTCAGGGACATGACGGGCCGGAGGCATGTAAGGAGGCATACCCTAACTGCAGGGCTGGCACTGAGGCCCAGGCGGGGTGCTAGGTGTGGGGGACAGGCAGCCCCAGGGCCCACCTTGATCTCGTCCATCCAGTCGATGCTGTGCAGCATGTCCTGGAAGAGCTTTTGCAGTTCTAGGGTCATTTCAAGCCTTTGGCGGCGGGACCTCAGCAGCTCCTGCAGATAGCTCCACAGGCGTAGGATGTTGTCCTTGCGGGCCATGATACGCTTCTGGTCATGGTAGTCCTCCTGCTCCAGCTCCTGGGCCAGGTCCTCCAGGGCCCTCACGCGCTCCTCGTAGGCAGCCGTGTCAGTCTCAATGGCCTCGTGCTTCTTCTTGGCTGCCTCCACAGCTGCCAGGTCATGCCCAAAGTTATCCTGTCCCCCAGGAGAAAAGCACGCAGCTCAGTCAGGCTTTCCTGGGCTCGTCCCCACACACAGGGAAACCAGGTCCCTTCAGAACAACTGCTGAGTGGGAAGCCTATTCCCAAGGAGTTAGTTCTGCTGTCTTTTCCAGCCAGTCTTATCAGAGCCAAGTTCTAGAGACTAAATCTCTCACAAGAGCCTTTAAAAGCAGCTCATGATTTTACTCACCGTATGTGCGGGTATGCTGTACGTATGTTACTCACAGAGCCCTTTTGCGGCCTGCTGGCACTCACCACCCTGCCCTGAATGGGCCTGCCTGATTTGGGGTGGGAAGGCCCTGCTTTTCACGTGAACTGTGCAGCTGTACACAGATGGCCTGCCTCCATGCTGTCCAGGGTGCACACACACCCTCCCATTCTCTCAGAATACTTGGTTTCCCCCTTCTGGATATTTAACTTGATTCCAAGCTCCAAGTGGGAAGGAACAGATGCTCTTGTGGATAAGCCCTGGGGTCAATTTTTAGCTAGTGAAATATGACACGCTTCTAGAGGCAGGAGTCCAAATGGCAGGCTGACATACACGAGGTGCACTCTGTTTCTGTCATGTCCCTGGAGGACCATTGCTTAAAGCCCACTCAAACCCTGGCTTTAGTTGATGCTACTGGCTCACAAAAGACAACTTTGGGGGCCATTTTGGGACTGTGAGGCTCTTCCCTAAAAATGAAGCTTAATAAACTCTGTAGAGTTCTTTCTCAGATGGGAATCTTGATCCACCTAGTTACAGGGAGCAGGGCTGCCAGGCCTGTGGAGAGTGTCATTCCACTGCCACCGAGAGGCAGCTGACTGCTGGGGGCTCTGGAGAACTTCCCCTCTCCTGCTCTCGCCAGTGTGTCCCCCCTTACCTGGGCCACGAGGCGCTGGTTTTCATTGAGCCATGTCTCTCTCATTGCAGCCTTCCTGTCAAAGCGGCGGGCCAACTGCTCCAGTTTCTCCTGCCGAATGAGCTCATTTCTCAGAGCCAGCTCCCGCTGATATTCAGCTTCCTCCAAGCTTTCCCAGGCCTGCACAAGATACAGAGGAGGATTCTTGGGACACAAGAGAAACATGGGTTTGGTGGGTCCATCTCTTTCATCCAACACTGAGCGATTTAATCTAGGTAGAACCTAGATTAAAGTTCAGTAACAGCCTGTTGGCATTCATACCAAAGAATAGGACGCCACTGGTCAGGATCTTCCATCTCTCTTCTCCCCTAAACATGCTTCAGACTCTTGGTCTAGTATAATGTTATTTGCCTCTGTGGGAACTCCGTAAGTTCTTACTGACTAAATGACTACCTTCATTCTATTAGAACTTTCAAGTGGTGTTAAGACTCCAAACCTCTGAAATATCAGAAAACTTTCTTTCTGTTATAAGTAGTTAATATTCCATCTTCAAGGAAATTCAAGGTTCTATAGAGACTATGTAATAAAAAGGCCCCAAAGATGGATGGTCAGGATTTGAACAGGATGTTGAACTGATGGACAGTGGGGAGAGTTTGGTATCTTAGAAGTAGGCTCAGATAGCACCCCCAAATAGCCAGCATGTGTAATTGATAACACCACAGGAAGTGACTTGGTTTAACTCTGTCCTGTGCCCAGTCCTGCACTTTTATCAGGAACTCAATCAGCCTGCCGGCAACGTGTAATTGAAAACACTACTGTACCCGGTTGATGTCAGAAACTAGTTTCCCATCATGCGGTGTATACACTTTCTGATTGTTGGCTCTCATCTGGGACTGGATGGTAAAAAGCAGGACTTCCAGATTCCCCTTCTCCTGAAACCTGTAAAGAAAAGAGAGGTATGGAGATTAGTGTTGACATTCTCATAGATAGGTTTTTGCTTAAGCCAACAGGGAACCTGGAATCTTGGAGCTTGGATAGAAAAGCCTATTTCCCTTAAAAAACAAAAAGTAAAGAGGATCTACAGGTTTACTTACCTGTTGAAACACCTAGCATATTCACCAACTGAGAGCTAATAAGAGCTGAGTCTTTATGATGCAAATCAGAGAAAACTCAACGTAAACACTGTTTGCTTACCACTTGCTTCCACAGGGGAATGGCTAACTGGAGTATTCTGGTAATTCCTATAGGTACCAAATTTTACCAATTGACTCAAAGAAACTCTTCCTTGTTTTGCACATGATGAAGACTTCTGGTTTTTACTTACGTTTTTATTGAGTCAGTAAAACCTTAGAAGAAACACAATCTACAAAAGAACATATTGCCCGGAAAGCAACTTTCACCTGACTGACTACTAATGAGCCAGCTCTCCTGACAGGTCCTAAAGGCCGAATGTTTCAGAGGGGAAAAGAAAGGGTGAGTTTTGGGAGATCTCAGGTATAGGAGATGAGGACTGGCAGCAGGAGGGATATCTAGAACTGAGGTCCAGTCTCCAGGTAACTGGGTACTTTCACACTTCTGCATCCTCTATGTAGCAGTTGAGTAGCAGCTGTCAGCAGGGTCCCCATCTTGAAGCCAGTTTAATAGAACAGACGGCTCACAGGTACTTCGAGAGGGCTGTGGCCCTAATCACCATCTGTACAGCCATGAAATATCACCCCTGTGTGCAGTGCCTGGTAGACTCACGGGGAATGTTATCTGTAGTGAATTTAGGACTTTAAAAGTGGGTTAGCGTCAGACCAGAAATCAGATACTTGTTTATAGTACACTCTAGAGTCTGTCCCACCTTTCACTGTTTGAGAGCATGAATGAAGAGTGTGGGAGATGAAAGGGAGAAGAATAAGGCAGAGGGGAACACCAATGAGCTAGAAATTTGTTTCAGGAGAGCTGGATAAGCTGGAAAGCCCCCTGTGCTTGTATGTGAATGTTTTTATGTATATGCATGTATGTGCTTGTGCACGCACAGTTGTGTGTGTGCGTATGTGCGTACACATGAACACAGGCCCTGGACACACTGGGGTGAGGCAGAGATCCCAAGAGGCAGGCTAAATGTTGTGCTGATGAATAATGACAGACGGAAAGAAAAAGAAGTAGTACCTAATGATCAGCAAGGCCCCACTCAGAGAGCTTGGCTGAACATACAGACGTTACCACCGCAACAAACCGGCAGCTCAGTGCACAGATGAGAGAACCTTCCAGCACAGACTCTTTGAAGAGATTCAGAAACCTGAGATTTCACTCCTGCTCCCCCTCAGGGACCTGAGAAAGCACTTTCTCTAGCTCAGAGCTGGGGGTTCCTCATCTATGTCCATTTCCCCTAAGCTGATGGCTTGGAAACAGGGAGAAGGAGGGGATGAAGCAGGTCACAGATGTGAAGCGCTCTAGCTTCTAGGATATGCCTCCTGGATATTCTTCTCAAGGCCCAGAGCCTGGTCCTACCTTCTGACAATTTTTCAGCCACCGATGCCCACCCTCCTGAGTGCTAGGGCCCTTACTTGGGAGGCTTCTCCACAGTGCGGTAGGTGCTGAAGGCCTGTAGTTGTTGCTGGACGCCCATCAGGGAGTTGGCAAAGTTGCGGCTGTTCAGGACAGTGATGGTCTGCTCGATCCAGATAAGCAGGTCCGAGGCCAGCCCACTGTACTTTTCAATCATCTTCTCGGTCTCAATGGCATGGTCAATTACCTAGGGAATCACCTTTTCACTCACCCTCATCGGAAGAGTAGTGATGTCAAGGAGGCCAACAATGAGGACCACAACTGAAGTGGTCCTCCCCCCTCAAGCTCTGGACTATTCTATGTTGGGTTTATTCTCTCACATCCAAGACTGGTGCTAAAGCAGGAGTGGACTGGAAGTATACTGGCAACATCAGGAGGGAGCTGGCTCTGCTAGGGCTCAGGGTCAGCTCCCCTCTTCTTCTAATCCTATAAAAGGTTGGTAAGCTCACTGTACCAGGACACCAGCCACTAGAGGGGCCAAGGTCTTATTTTAAAATGTGTATTAGGAATTGAGGGCATCTAGGCACTATCTTTGCTGAACACCAGGCACACAAAGATTGAATAAGAAATGGTCCTTACCCTTGGGGAGCTAAAGACCCAGCAGGGAAAAGGTATCTTGCATGAGGGTCTGTATAGAGGATGGGTTCTTAATATACCATAGGTGCCTGAGAGGCCAGAAACCACAATAAACTAACAAATTAAAGTTCATCTTGTTAATGTGGGAATGTTCATGAGACATGGGTTTGTGGGTGGGAGATGGGCTCAGAGTTGCAGGCTCTGACATTTTTCAGGACAGACCATCAAACTACTTTGGAATTCAGCTTGGTAGCTATTCAGTTGGCAATGGCGTCAGAGAAAGTTGGTTGGCCGTGTTCCGCACGCCCCATGCAGCTGAGCCCAGACCAGACACAAAACTCTTAGGATGGGAAGAGAACATCTCAGGCAGGGCCTGAGTGTCACCAACAAGGTGAAAACAGCTCAGTACCTTGCCAACGCGCTTGCCCTCCACTGCCAGCACCTTCATCTTGGAGAAGTAGTGGTAAAACGCCACCACATAGGTAATAATGGATTTCTCATCTGGGTTTTCTGTGAAAACATCTGTAAGGGGGAAAGGTGAACTCTCAGGACCAAACTGGAAGCTGGAAATGTCAGGCTCACAGGATTTATCTCCCTGTTCCTCCAGCAGGAACTTCAACTACAAATACCAAGTGACAAACAGCAGGGTGAGAATGCAAGAGTGATGGGTCTGCAATTTTAGTGAGAGGATGAAACCCATATTCGGACCTCAAACTATGAAAGAAGAGAAAAGAAGGATCCAAAGGCTAGGGTGGGTGCCCAGTCGGCTGGGTGAAGTGTTGGGAACCAACCTGGATCTGAAAAGCAGGCCCAGAGCAGAACCCTGGCCCAGCCACCATCCTCGCACTGTACCCATGGCTTGCCCAGCACCTCCCTAGACTCCTCCATGTGCCCTGTCAGTCTGGTGCTCCCCCAAGCATGAGGCCGCACCCACCCCAGCAGTGAAGGGCTGGGATGGGTGCTGGCTTACCTTCGGGGTCAAGGAGCGGGATGATGCCCAGCTGACGCTCAGCCACATTGAATGCGTGCTCCAGGTTGTGTCGGGCATTAGAGTCCTTCAGCTTATTAAAGTCAATCAGGTCGGGCCTGGGGATGAAGTGAGACTGCTAAAAGGGGATGGCCACAGCATCCCACAAGCAAAGACACTGGGCAGAGGCTGGGAGGTAGCTCAGCAGGTAGACTGAAAGGAGGAGACAGAAGCAGAGGAGGGAGCAGCTGTGAGCCCCTGCACGTGGGGCAGAGGGCAGGGGGTGTGACTGGAATCTAAGGGAAGCAGGGACGTTAACATGCATTCCTACAACCCTGCCCTCCCTCTTACCGGTGCTTGTGTATCAGGGCATTAAAGGCCAGGCCATCCTTCCAGCTGGAGGTAAAGTTGGTGACATTGACATGGGGGTAGCTGCATCCAAGAGAGACAAGAAGATCTAATAGATTCTTTTGAGGCCCCAAACAAACATATGAACCAAGGGGTCAATACACCAGGAGATGAACGGACCTGTCCCTGCTCCAGCCCCTTCAACACAGAGAGGCTCCTCCAAAAGGTGGGCCAAGAGACCCCACACCCAACAGGCCCCACAGTCTGACCCAGACCACTTTGGAAAGAAATCCTGCATCCCAGGCCTCAAAGAATCAGGATAGACTTGGCGTCAGTTATGCCACAGTGGCTATGGTTCTGGGTGATGACATCCGTGTTCCCTGACAATGGCAGTGGTCAGGGGAGCAGTGGGTAGGGGGAAGTGCGGTAGTAGCTACTTCCCAGGACCTACCCTGCCGTCTTCATCTGGCACCATAAGAGCAATGCATCCTTGGCAGAGCGTGTCTCATGGCCTTCCTGAGTTTCGACAATAATGTCCTGAATCTGGGGGTGCAGGAACAAGAGGGGGGATTAGATCTGCATATGGCTTGCTGTCCTCCTGCTCTTCAGGGGAAGCTCCCTCCCACTCTGCTTCACAGTGGAGAATCCTCCTCTCTCATCCAGCTGGTTGCCAGCCCTGCAGCCACAGCACAGCCTGAGGCCCTGGGTACCAAGGGGCCTGTTTCCCTGCCTCAGTTGGGGGGCTGCAGAGCAACGGCTTCCTCCTGTCAGAGGAGACATCTCTGGCCTGATGACTCTAACAGGGTGCTGAGATAAACAAGAGGCCTTGCTTCCGCCTTGGGCGGTGTGATGCTGTGCAAGGCTGTGGGTTAACAGGAGCACTGGAAGGTATATTTGCATTGGTAGCTCCTCTTGCCTTTTCATTCCCTCTAATTCTGCTGTTACCACTGTTTAATCATGTGCCCCATGGAGAATGAGATCGGACACTCCAAACCACGTAGATGAGGTCCTCCACCGGCAAGTTATGTGCTGTGTTCCTCCTCCCTGTCTTTCCCTTCTCAGACTAGGTTCTTTCTGTCCCCCAGCAGGTAGAAGGCCCTCCTTTTCTTCCCTTGAGCTTCCTAAATTTCCTTACAAATAATGGGCCTTGAATTTCATGGTGGGGAGAGAAATTTCTGATAGAAAAACATAGAAGTAGATCATCTATACTGTTTTTGCAATTTCTGAATCCAACTATTTAAAAAAAATATTTGACTATTTTGAGAGAAATCTTCTGCATCCGTGGATGTTTTGTTGCCCTTGTCTAGCTTGGATTAGCACATAGTCTACAGGCACACACCTGATCATCTACATTTGCTCTCTTACAACACTAAACTATGTTTTCTACCTTTATCTTGCATCTACCTACCACTTCAGCATTTTATTAAAAATAGTAATAATAATAATAATAAAGGGAGAAATGTGGGATTCACATATAAATCAAGTATAAAAATCAAACGAATATTCATAATTGACCTGATTGTTTATAGTTCATAATGAGTGATCAAAACCGAAAGTTTCTGTGATGACTGCCCTTGTACTGTTCACCATGTAAGAACTTATTCACTATGTAAGATTTGTTTACCATGTAAGAACTTGTTCGTTATGCTTCAGAAGATTGGAGACTGATGAGAATTAGGCTGGGGATGGATTATTGATTGTACATTGAGCATTGACTCCCCTTACAGAATTTTATTGTTGTTAACAACCATTTGATCAATAAATATGAGAGATTCCCTCTCAAAAAAATAAAAATTAAAATTAAAAAAAAAAATAAAGACTTTTTTACACATATGCAAGGTAGGTAAGGAGACAAAAGCAGATCTTCCAGATCTACTAATTTTTACCTTCTCTCTCAGAAGACTACACCATTGACTGAACAGCTCACCCTGTGCTTCAGTGATTTGGCAAAGCAGAGGATGGTCAGGCCTTCCTAGAAGCACTGTCCCCCAGGACAGGGTTCCAGTCTCCCAGAATATGCATGAACACTCACACTTTATTCACCATTCTATAAGATTCCCAAGCCCTTACAAGACTGTGCAGCCTAGAGAGGCTCCCTCCGCTCTCTGTGCCCCTGGGAACCTACCTGGAAGCGGAGGATGATGGTCCAGATGAGGCCCAGGACCAGGCGGTGGTTGCCGTCCACGATGTCGTGGGAGCCCATGTTCTCCAGGTGCACACGCTGCTCCCTGAGGAACTGCAGGGCCTTATCCACATTCTCCAGGCAGTGGATACGCATCTTCCCCTTGGTGGGCTTTGGCTGAGGAACAGCATCAGCCCCCGTGGGCATGGAGGGACATCACGGTCACCCCAGAAGTGGCTGCCGTCTAGACCAGCTCGGTCATCAGCATCTGCCCTCTACCCTCCTGGCCAAACTCCAGCTCCCGCACTCAGTTCTTGATACTTTACAACCCCATCCTTGCAGCAAAGTTCAGAGGTTCCCTCCCTTGAGCACTGAGAGCTCTGCACCTGCGTCTCAATAAAGCCTTGTGGCGAGGGGCGGGGAGGGTTGTCAAATGGCATTTAAACACAAAGCCATGAGAGATAGTTAACTGAACATTTAGTATGTGCCAGGCAGTGTTTTAAAAACTATGCACTGCTGGGTGGTGACAAAGGTGGCTTTTGGCTTGGTGATTGGTAAAAGGTCCATCCCGCCATCCAACCTCCTCACTCCCCATCCCTAAAGGGCCCCAACCAAAACTCAAGGGGACCACTATTAATAAGGAACTGCATCATCTGAAGGGTTCCCAGGGGTAACTCTCTGGTGGGCTTTCTAGTGGGCAGTGTAAGAGGTAGAACTTCAAGTTGGGTTGAAAAGCAACAGAAGAACACAGTATCTTTTCATTCAAACCTTGAGGGTCTTAGAGTACCTCATCAGGCACCACTATCACTTTATACAAGGGAGAAACGAGACAAGGTCCTGCTTGATAGGTGCAAGGTCACAATGGAAGTAATAAAGCACAATATGAACATTAATCTGGTTCTCTCTCAGGGGCAACATTACTGCCAGAGGGCCTGTAATAAATCCCGACTTGTAAGAGTGATAGAACACACAGGAAAACATCGTCCATGCTTTCCTCTTGATTCCAAGAAGGATGATAATTTCTCCTCTTGGGTAATAGAATCCATCTTAGTCTGTGTGAGGAGGCTGAGCGGATCTACTGCAGGACAGCCACAGATGCCCAGACCCCACGCAGAGAAAGTTAAGAACCCTGCATGGCTTCTGGGAGAAGCACGAAGGGGCGGAAGTGGCCAGAAGGAGACACAAAACTCTGAGAAGAGGTCACAGAATCCAGTCAGCCACATGGACATCTTGGATCATTAAGAATTGAAACCCCCCAAAAGAACAGCAGAAAGCCTTGGTCATCTCCCTGAGAACTGGCGGTAACCCCAGAGCATGCCTTTTCTGAAGAGGGCACACAGCACCACCACAAGGCCCAGGGAAAGGGGCCACAGCACAGCAGGGACTTTACCAGCATCTCTCCAGACAGCACTTCCAGCAGCTTGATAAGCATCCGCCCATCCCGCAGGTCCTTGTAGAGGTCAGTGATGCGGCAGGGCACACGAGCCAGGTTTGAGTTCACCCATTTTGTGAAGGTCTTCTTCTGAACAACTTCCCGTTCATCTAGGTGGAGAGAAGAACCTTGGGTGAGATGCCCGAGGTTGGCAGAGTCAATGTGCAATGTGACATGGGTTCGAAGGGTTTCACTGTAATCCCAAGATTACCCCACCCCTGGCAGAGGAGGTTGATGTATCTATTCCATTCCCTTCCTAGGAGCATTTGTGATCAGAGCATAGCCTTTTGGCAACATGAATCCATGTGTCATGACTGGGAAAATGAAGAAATAACATCTACCACCACATTCTATGTACAGTATCAACACACCCCTAATTCAACTGTTATTCTGTGCCCATCAGAAAGCTCTGTACCATGTGCCAGATACTCACCAATCCACTCATCCAACAGATATTCCCTCTGCCTAGAAGGATCTCTCTTGACCCCTCCACTCCACCCCACACTCTTTGCCTAATTCCTATCCATTCTTTAGGAGTCAGTGTAAACAGTGCTTCTCTGGAAAGCTCTTCCTGACCCTTTGCCTAGGTTAGATCTCCCCCTGTGTGCCCTGACCCCTACATTTGCATTTCTCATTTATATCTCTCTTCACATTTGTATTAGTTTAAGTCATTTATCCTGCAAGACTGTAGGCTCCTTAAGCAGTGAAATGCGTCTTGCTCATCTCTAGATCCCCAAGGCCTAGAGCCTGGCACACAGTAGGTACTCCAGAGCTGTATTAGAGCTGACTGTGTAGACATTTATTCAGCTCCCATTGGTGGCAGGCCTGTGCTAGGCCTGATGAGACATAAAAACAAATTGCTCCTGGTAGGTAGAGGAGAATGGTGCACAAGGGAACAGTGAAGACTGTGGAATGTATGGCCTATATGGGGCTAGGGATAGTGGAAGCTTGGACTGGCAGCTCTCCATTGCATTATGTTGCATTTCTCACCTGCAGAATGCCACGCAAGGCTTCTTGGTTTTGAGATCTGGGAAGCTGACATGACACCCCTACCCTAAATTAGCATCATCCCAAACCAGGCTCGTGCCCAGGCTTCTGTATGTGCCACCTCAGTAAAATAATGCTGGTAACCTATCCAGTCAGGGCTGGGAGACAAGAAGCAGATGCTGGATTGAGGACAGAACTTGGGATAGCAGAAACAGTAGGGAAGGGGTGAGAGATAAATAAATAGAGAAGAATGACAGAAGAGAGAGAAATGAAGGGAGAGGACAGAGAAGGAGTGAGCCCTCCTTCTGTTTGCTTTAGGAAACAGTTTGTGGCAACTGCCTTCTGGGCCCCTTAGTTGAAGACTGCAGGCAGGAGCTGACTTGGCAGTGTGGCTGGGCCTAGGGCTACAGAGGATCCCTGGCGAGGCGTGTGGGGGCTGGTCACAGCCAGGGCAGACTCAGAGCAGCCCAGCCAGGGGGGAAAGTGAGCGCCACGGGAGCAGGCTGTCTGCTCAACCGAGCCCAAACCATGGAAGGGTTGGCTTCTTAAATTATTAAATATGTGATTTAGCAACAACAAAAAGAGGAGCCCAGCCAACACAGCCTCAAGGGTATAATTCTGGCAGTTCCTGAGGCTCACAGCATCAAATTCCTTCCTACTGCGAGGCTATTTTAGTATTAGGAACTCAGACCCTTTAGTCACTTATTCATTCATTCAGCAAATGTTTACTGCACAACCATTAGGTGCCAGGCTCTGGGTGGAGGTGGGGAATTCAAGGACAGGAAAGACAGCGCCATCCTTGCAGCAGACATACTCCATTGTAAATATGTTAAGTGCTGGAGTCCTATGTGAAGAATGCTATGACAGTCATCTAAATATTAGACCTCCATGAAGAGGAAAACTACTACTCACAAGTCTTAAACATGAAATTAAAATGGCATTCATTCATTCTGGGCTTCTGGGCAAAGTTTCAGGGGAAAAGTGCCTTTACTCTTTTGTCAGTAACAAACCACTTTCCTGATTTTAAGGACTGCTTCAGTAACATGTAACTAAATTTTGATGATATAGTGAATGGAAAGTGATCACATGTATTTATTCTATTGAATCCAAACATTCAACAGTGCCAGCCACAGTCCCACAGTGCTTTCCCAGAAACCAGACCTGTTCTTTAGGAGGCTAGCCCTTCCAGTGGGTGGTATAGCTTTGACCAAAGGAGCTGGTATTTTTAGTCCCTTCAGAAGTAAGTGTCTCAAAAAACTGAAGGCCTTTCTCCCTTTCTCCTTTTCCCATCTTTAAGAATCCAAAACTTTCACTACATGCTGACACCTGGCAGAGGGTAAGGAAGTACCTGTAGCTGGGGACACAGAACTTAATTCTAGGCTGCTGGGCTGGCATACACATCAATGCAGATGTTTCCTAGACCATCCTCAGGGCTCCCCAGTTTTCAAAACACAAATGAAGCCTCCTGGACTCCACAAGGCCAATTCCATGGTTGAGAGCTCGGGCAGGCAGCTCCCCGGTTGCTTCTTTTTTTTTTTTTTATTACTTGAAGGCTGGAATGAAATTGCCCAGAATCCTCAGCACCCTGAAACACTTTGCAGTGTAGAGCCATGAGAAAGATTCCGAGAGGCTAATGATGATCATAAAGAGAGAAAAGCCCAGGGGTGGGAATTAATCTTCACCAGCTCGTTTGCTGTGGCTGATCCACATCAGCACGCCCAGCACACTCACTCCTTGTACAGCCCAGGAGCTCATCAGGAGCCTTCCAAGTGCAGGAGGGGCAGGGGGCCCAGAGCCAGCTGAGTGGGGAGCCCTGGTGGTGTCGACAGAGCAGGGAGGCCAGCAGGCATCAGGCCTGCTGTCCCCAGGGGCCCCGGGCCATCCTGCAGGCACCTCTGTGGAAAGGAATCCTTCAAAGGCCCTGCCCTGGGGCCAGGCCTTATTTACAGAGCTCTAATACTGCCAGTGCAGGAAAGGGGACAAGTTCACCAGCACGGCCTGACTCACAGCCATCAGAGCCTCAGGAAATCCTTGTGCCTGCCGGCTGTCACCAAGCCCTGGCCTCTCTACTCCTATCTGTTCTTCTTCCTCTCCTTTTCCTTCCCAGGCTGTGGTCATCCTCAATCCTCCCTACATGTGAGGGCTTCTCCTAGAAAACTCATTCCTCTCTGATGATCTAGCTAGAATCACTGTCTGGGAATTGTGACTGGGTACCCTTTCTTCCACACATCCTTTAAAGGTTGAGTTTGCAGTCAAATAAACCTACAGTACCAAAACTCAAATATTTAGCCACGAATGAGTGAGTTCATACACAGAAAGTATTCAGAACAGTACCTGGCACATGGAAAGCTAGCTGTAAATGTTACTCTCACTGTTACCATTACTGCTACTACTGTTACCAAGTGCAGGGTCCTGCCCTGATGCTGTGGGGAGCCCAAGGCAGGCTCACTCTCCCCACGGGCCTCACAATCAAGTTGAGGAAACAAGACATAAACCCACAAGCAGTTAATTTGCAGCCACACAAGAGATAAAGGGCAGTTCATTTTAATGATATAAAAGCTATCACTTGGCAATATTGGATTAATTATCAGATAAAAGGCACATACAATAAATGGTCAGCGGTCAAACAGGAGAGATGTCATTTCGAACTGGAGCAGTTAAGGAGGCCTCATGAAAAAGCCACTTTGGACAGACAGAGGAGGGGAGCTAGGAAGACAGAATCCTTCCAGGCAGAGAGGCATAAAAAGGCAAAGCTTGTTCAGGGGTTGCTGCATAGCTAAAGCTAAGAAGAAAACATGTGGAAAATAGATTTTTAAAATGGATGTGGAAAGCCACGAATAAAAGGCTAAGAAGTTTAGATTAAATCCTAAAGGCAAAAGGGACCACTGAAGGTTCGGCAGGGTCATTTCCTGAAATATTAACTTGTAATGTTCCCAATAACAATAAAAAGACAATTCATTGGGAAAACAAAAATAGGTAGGAACATTCCAAAACAGAAGAGTAATAAAAGGTGATCAGTCTTCCCAGGTGTTTCTTCTATTGAATAAATAATTGTAGTATAAGGCTATAATAATAAAATTGTGGCACTAGCATATGAATAGATAGATCTACTGATGGAAAAGAAATAGTCCCAAGCACACATAGGCATTTAATAAAACCTGATAAAGGTGGCATTTCAAATATGAAGGGGAGAGATGGATTATTGGGTAAAGGGGGTTGACAAAATGGCCATCCAGGGAAAACTAACTTAAACTCATACCTCATATTCCAGGATAAATTTCATTTGGGTCAAACAATGATTTTTCTCAAGCCATGGAAGATTGAAAGTTCACCTATGCTAAAAAATATTTTGTGTGGAATAAAATATCATAAGCAAGCCAAACAAGTAAGGAAAGACATTTGTAACTCACATTATAAGGGGCTAATTTACCTAGTATGTAAACAATATCTGCAAGTAAATAAGGAAAAAGGCCAATAATCCAACAGCAAAATGGACATAGGAATGTGAACAAAGAGTTGACAGAGAAAAACTAGTCTTTTTAAATGGGTAAAAAGTTGTCCAAGATATTCATAATCAAAGTATAAAATAGAAGTATAACACATACAAAATCTAATACATGGTCATTAACTTGTTTGAACAAATTAATCATAAAAGACATTTTGAGACAACTGGGAAAATTTGAATATTAAATAGACATTAGGTTATATTAGGGAATTACTGTTAATTTTATGAAGTCTGCATTTTTACTAGCACATAGCTGCTTTAAGCTATGGGTAAAGCTAGATATAATAATGGTATTATGGTTAAGTGAGAAATGTTCTTCTTTTTCAGTCATATACTAAAATATTAGGGGTAAAATGTCATGATGATTTTCAATTTCCTTAAAAAATACTTCAGCCCCAAAACGAATGAGCAAATTGGCAAAATATTCACAGTTGCTAAACCTAGGCAACGATTCATTATACTTTTCTCTCTACTTTTCTGTAAGTTTGAAATTTTTCATACTAAAAGTCAAAAAGCAAAATGAAAGTACACCAAGGTACTATGTTTTACTTATCAGATGGGCAAACTTAGAAAGTTTGATACAATATCTGTTTGGCAAGTATGTGGGGAAAAAACCAT